TTTGCTAGGCCCACCGCACACGTGTTCCGCGGACGCTCGTAGCCAGGATCACGTAGGCCCTTTTCGGCGAAGCTATTTATTTGAAGGACCCGATAACGCGTTGATGGAGCCGACAGCACCTCGGCTCTCGCGACATTGTCTATAGTTGGTTCGACGTTTCTTAGGCCCTTCTCCCCGATACTACATATAGTATACAAGATTAGAATTAAAGATGAGATATATAGCTGTACTATAAATTCTGTTTTTATTTCAACAAAAAATTTTTATTTCATTCCGCGGTGAAATGAATCAATATGTAATTATTATTAATTTTGTTATTGACTATGTTTTTAGTATTACTGCAAAACCTATACGTCTTTATCTACATGCTTTTATTAATTACAAAAATGATAGATTTATTTTTTCGTTGTTGTAGAAACATATTATACTATTACATAAAATTCACCATCGTTATTATGTAATTTTTATAAACTATTCCAAATAGCTCTTCCTATATTTCCCCTTCTATTCCCCAGCTATTCACCCTTCGATGATTCAAGTTCGACATAAAAGACGACAAAACTTATTACAATCACTTGCTTAAAATGATTCAACATATTTCCATTCGTGTTACGTTAAAGACATGCACAATTCCACGAAGATATCTGAATAAGAATTTATGGCTCCGCTTCGTGAAATGTTATGTGATTCGCGTGATCACGCATTGAACTTTGAATTTCAAATTAGATTCACTATGTAAATCTAAAAAAAATTAAGTAAGAAGCAAATGTTTACTGTGATTTTATTTCCCGATTTAAGCATAAGCATATGAACTTATAAAAATATTATAAATGTCATATCTTTTAAGATATTTTTCTCTGTTCGTATGCAATCCCAATTATTCATAGTTTGTATAAGGGAAGAACATATATATGTGTATTTATAATCTAATTGCATTTAGTTACATCTTAAATTCATTCTAAATCATTATAAAACAATTGAAACTATTACATATTATTAAGTATATTTCTTAAAAACTGTCGATAATTTTGTATTTTTTATGAATATGCGCAAGATATTTATGTACAGGTAAACAAAACATATTCAGTTAATTCATAAGTATATATTCTGTTATACGTCATAAAAAGGGCAAGTTAACCGACTGAAGGTAACGATTCTTCACAAATGAATTATTGCAAATGTTTGTAAATACTAGATTCATCTTTTTACGAGTAAGTATTCAGAGTGCTAACTAATAGAGACCGAAATATTTAAATCAATATTATGAATATTAAAGCTATATCGAAGATGATTAATATTAAAAATGTAAATAAATTACCACTACTTAATGCCAATGATAATCGCTATTAAGTAAGCTTACTATTACAGCGAGTAACATGACCTTAATAATAGTGTTAAAGAAATATTTTTATACTCTAACTTCTTACAATATAAAGGAGATTATAATAAATAAAATAGCTAGAAGGTTACTATAATTGAGTACTTAATGTTATCGAAATGTATTTAACATATTATTCCATTTATCTGTTCCCAAATTTTTAAATGAGAAATAGTAGCAATGGTACAAAATAAGAAGATATTTTTTCTAGACAATACAAAGGACTTACGTATATTTTAATTTTCTTTATTTACGCGTTCAGGATCATCAGCGTATCTATAAAAAAAAATCTATAAAAGAATCTAAAGAAAGAAATGGAACGTTTTGGACAAAGCCTTTAAATCTCATAACTTAATCGAAACCAAAAGACAAAAAAGGTTCGTACAAAAATATGTTTTATTTTTATTAACATAGAAGGATATGTACATATATTGAATACTGCGTAAAGAATTATGTACATTTGTATTTTCTTTGATACAGGTACATATATATATATATATATATATATATAGAATCACGCATACTTACGCATTTGCCGGTAAGATTACAGGATAAACGCGGGGAGGCGCCACTAGTTCTTTCGTCTAACGTTGAGCGCGCTTGTGCTTGTGTTTGTCGGCTATTTAGCTCTTGCCTCGTGTTGCCGGCGTTTCAGTCTTGCTTTGCTGTCAGATCGTTCAATTTCGAGACTGGAAATCCATTCGCGAGCGATAATAGTGCATCTCAAAGAGTCAATTTGAACGATTAGAAGAGAAAGAGCTTTGTGTAGCAGTAATTAATTTATAAAATCGTGTCACATCGACGACGTAAAGCGACAACATTCATCAAGTTGATTGAACGAGAAAGGTTAACCGGCGAATAATTCAACAAGGGTAGTAATAGAGCTAACAGGTATGTTTGCTTTACTGTTCTATCTTTTTCCATTGTTTGTCCCTTACATACGATCGTATATATTCGTCGTTAAGAATCTTCGAATTATTCCATTTAGTAAAATTAAAAATTTCGATCTTTCTGTAAGACGAGAGAAAAAAAGGAGGGAGAGAAGATAGTAAAATCAAAGTTTATAGGACAATCTCCTTCTTTCACGGTCATTTCTTATTCAACGTTCTTCGTTTGCGAATTGATAAAAGACTGGGATAATTCCGTTTGTGTTTCTCAATTCGGCAGACGGCCGGTCATCACATCATCGCGTGATCAGATCTTTCGTACGTTTGAGAATTTATCAGTGTTCCTGATGATGTAATAGCGTTATAGTGCGGCTGTATATGTTTCGCTGATCCGAAATAATTCGATTTTAAAACTATTTATGACTACAGTACGATATTTCTAGCAAATAAATCAAGATAGAAGAAACGTGTATAGATATATATACATGTGTATATAAATATAAAATTTGTATTTGTATATATAAAATCATCAAAACCTCATTCACAGTTTTAAAAATGCCCCATTGTAAACCAAGAAAATTTTGTTTCAAGTTCAAAATTACAAATAAGTCATTTCAATTCTGATATTTCTAGTGTTAACGGACGAACTAGGATAGCGTTAAATAATATACCGTTAATTTTAATTTTGCTGGCTCAATAATACCAGATTTGCGTATTGCCTATTTCACGTATATACATGTATACGACGTATAATAAGAAAATTTCTCCTTTCGCGTGAATCGTACCATGGCAATAGCAATAAAAAAACCTTAATTTAACATTAAAAGATTGACGAACACTGAGTGACAAACATTCAATTTTTTTCCCCCATGAAAGTTCGAATCGAAATTGAAAAAGAAAACTCGCGATTGCTTGATTCGGATGAGACAAGTAAATCACGTGTTTTTTTAAATAATATAACTTGAAAAAATAAACGACCGCAGGTAACGTAAGGTCATCCATCCAAGGTAAATTTCATTGACGCGTGTTAGATACGACAGCTTTAATTACGTTTCTGTGTATCTTGTCTACAATATAAAGTCTCAATATCACGTTTGTCGCAGTCTTTAATCGTTATGGCGTCTAAATAAATCACACGCGTTGTTTCTAGCGTTAAGTACTTTGTTTGAGTACATGCGAGTGATAAGATCTTTCGTATAATTAGTTGTAAACTATATTATCCTCTCTATATTATATATATTATCCTCTGTTGATTCTTTTGCGACTATAAACATCTTTTAAGTAATTTCTCTGTTATATATAACGAGTCAAATATTATAATGTTACGTTGACTTTAGTATTGAAATTACCAGATGTTTTATCGCTTGATATTGCCGTAAGTAATATAAGTCTGTTTTAGACTTCGCAGACAAAAATACAAATTTTTAACATTTCCTTCCTTCGATACGGTATGAGAACACGCACATGAGGCGACATTTCTTGAATTTCTAATTCGTATACGTTTCTAGTATGTTGCAATATATGCACATATATGTGATCCTAGTAACTTTAGGAAGGGCTACTACGGTCGCACGAACGTTCGCCTGAGAGTTATGAAGCGATAACAAAATTTACGATACCGCGCGACAAGTAGTAAAAATAGTTACGCTTTCCTTGTTCTATTTTATGTTTTTATTTAGATGTAAACCTGGCTACGTGCCTTTCTTCTTCCTTTTTTTGTTACTGTCTTTTCGTGGCATTGCTTACTATTTGAAACCTAAATATTTATCTATTCTTATCTGTATTTCTCGCGATCGCGGAGATGGGTTGTTTCGCATAACCTAAGCGATTCAAAATAAACTAGTACTTTTAATTCCGAGCGTGGTATAATATTTGATCTTTTATTTTACGTTCGCAATATCGATTTGTCGGAAATTTTCGAAGGGAAGATAATGCACTTTTTACAGTGCTTAGATAGTATAGATAGTGGTTGCAAGATAGCGTAAGATATTGTGAAAATAGTGATAGTAATCTCTTAGTAATAGTGATAGTAATTTCTTAAAAATTTCAGCCTCATTGTATATCTCGGTAGAATAACGTATATAAGATTAATTCAAATATTTTAAGTCAGTATAGGAATTATGAGATAGTAGACGAAATTTAATGTAATATATCTACATTCACGCCATAATTTCACCACTCAATGCCAAGGTTTTCTCATCGATCTCACAATATCCATAATTCTACACATATTTTTTTATCATTTTGGCATGCTCTATTTGTATGAAATATGCCAATGGCTTATGATTTATTCGAAACATGTTCAAGGTCATTGAATTCGAAGTACGAATTAGCAATTCTTTAACGAGGTTGAAGGATACAGTACGTGCCAATTGTCAGGCCAGCGTCTCAGCGGTGTCAAACCTGTTGAGCTGTTTGGAAACATTTCTTAGATTCGCTTGTTGTTGGCAAAGGTTGACCGTTGATATAAGTACATCTAATGTGTTTATTCCGCTTCTGCTTCGGGCAGCCAAGTATTTCTCTCAACGCATACCGTTACTAGGCCTACAAGTTTAAGAAAGTTGAGAGATGCGTACAACAATATTCATATTATAATTTAATCTCTCAAAAATTCGTTCAATTTTAACGAAATAAAACACTCTCTTTTTTATTTCATAACTTTATTACACTGATACTTACAAAATTACATAAGAACCTATTTTTTTTTTTTTTTTTTTTTAGAAAATCAGCGGTGTCAAACCTGTTGAGCTGTTTGGAAACATTTCTTAGATTCGCTTGTTGTTGGCAAAGGTTGACCGTTGATATAAGTACATCTAATGTGTTTATTCCGCTTCTGCTTCGGGCAGCCAAGTATTTCTCTCAACGCATACCGTTACTAGGCCTACAAGTTTAAGAAAGTTGAGAGATGCGTACAACAATATTCATATTATAATTTAATCTCTCAAAAATTCGTTCAATTTTAACGAAATAAAACACTCTCTTTTTTATTTCATAACTTTATTACACTGATACTTACAAAATTACATAAGAACCTATTTTTTTTTTTTTTTTTTTTTTAGAAAAGACGTTTCAATTTAATGAAATTCAAAGATGGATCTTAAGAGGCTGAAACAAATATTACTTTATGCTCTCGGTAAATTTACTCGTGAAAAATTTAACTCGGGTATTTTTATTACAAGTTATCTCACGGTTTTGAACCTGTTTTTCTGCGTGCAACAGTTCCTCATTTTCTGAGAGTGAAAGCTAAATTTATAATCTAGTTGAAAGTAGTTGCAATTTTTAAGACCAATGATATATTCGCGGCGCGTCGTTTACAATTTCATTCTTGATCAGATACGAGGATGTAATCGGCCACCGGAAACGTCGATTCGATTAAAGTCGATTAGTAGCAGCGGTTCGATCCAGCTCCTATATATTGCACTTCCGACGATAGAAAATATTTTTGTGCGTCAGTTATTTTACATGTCCTATCGTGCAAAAATCGAATAAGCTTTTATCAATAACAGATTTTCATGTTTGAAATTCTCACACTATTTCATAATTGTTGTTTATTTCCTCGGTTAGTTACATAACAAATATTAACATTATTTGACGCGTTATTTCAAAGTACATACATCATTTATATTGTTAAATATTGTATCAAAAACTTCTATTTAGATTTCTTAATTAGTACTGTATTGACAAATCTGCACACCGTATTGGACTAAAAGTGTAAAATTAATAATAATATATAATACATATTATAAAACACATATAAATAATATTAGATAATAATATTTTAATTATTATCTTCGATTTTCTATAACTAGAATGTTTCAGTTTTCAGGTGTTCTGTAATATATAGGTGTTAATTAGTTAAGGCTATATATCTTTGTAAACTTCAACGACCGCAATAATTCATTCAGTCGTGTTCATTTTGAGCCCCCTTTTAAGTTTAAAATAATCTCAATTTATTTACTATAAAATCTCGAAATTACTCCATATTATCCTAAGTATTTTACGAATTCTTCAAATTCTTCAATTGTTCGGAAAAGGAAGAAATAAAAATGAAGAATAATTTTTCCATAGCATAGCAGTACGTTTTATGTAACTTCGCAAATAATGAAAATTAATTTTTGAATTATAATATGGTGAGGCAGTATCATCATGCATGCACACATCAAATAAAAAATTATCATCAGCAGCTATCAGCATATTTCGCAAAGATAAACAGAAATATATTTACACGCGGTACGGTTAAAACGTGTACAACTCGCAACTACAACACATCTACAACACATGTACTAAAACAATATTCCTACAGATTCTCGGATTATATGAAAAAAACGGGATAATCTTTTTCCTAAGAATTTAATACACGCATTTCCATAAAATATAGAAATTCCGAATTAGAATTTCGTGCAATGTCACCTACGATTAATGTATTTAGTTAGGCAACTTTCTCCATGTAATTTTCGTGAACATCTGTAACATTTTTATCATAGTCATTACGATCGATATTAGTATTACGTGGTTTCAATACCACTGTTATGCTGGATTTTGTCGGATGTACGCAGGAAAGATTATGAGACCGTGGTTATACGTTATCAGAAGTGTGTCGTTCTAAATTGTAAACGATTACTTCCTGAATATAGTTGCGATAATATGCAAATATGTATGTGTGCGAGTGCCCCAACCTTGAACGTTAATTGCCCATTACGTTTTATTTAACATTGCTATAAAAAAGCGGCACCCTATGACATTTATTTGTCATTATCTTGTTTTAATGGACTAATGTTAAAGCTGCACGCTGAATTTACTGACCATATACATGATACAGTATTACACAAATATATAAAATGGCATGCAGCTATATATCATGCGGTAGTCTTTTTTTATGCTTCTTGAAGCTATTCAATTATTTATAAAGTCGAAGTAAATAATAGGAATACTGGAGGCTGTCGTTTTTAAACACCTATTAGACTAATTATTTTTAATGATCCAGTACTACGTGGATGTAGTTGTTTGACCCAATAATGCAATTCAAATTGTCAGAAATTCATATCTCACAGAGATTATCTCAAAATTACAAAATTATCAAATTCCTAAATTTCCAAGTTGCCGAATTTTTGAAGATTCGATAATTGTGCGTCGTATACTTCGCTCGGTAAATGTATTCGCGCGAATTCTCACGTCTCGCAACACCTTTCTCTTGTTATTTTACATCGGAAGTATCACAGCTCGGTATTTTCTTCCATTACGGCTCGCAATCAGCTCATTATACGACACAAAGAAACTGAAATCAGTTGAAAGTACGAGTCTACAATACCTCATAATGCTCGAACAACTTCTATTCACTTGACTGCCTCTTTAAACTCCTCTCGAACGTATTTCAAGTTGATTCAATCAACTATGCCCTCGGTTTGATCTCGGAAGTTCAATGACAAAATCGCAATGATGTAGCGAATAATAAAGGATGTATGTTTGCTTCATACACTCATTGACTCAATATTCATAACCCTGTAAATGATAATAGTTTGCATCGTGTTATTCGCATTATTACATCGCATTAAGGCACAATTTAAATATAGTGCGCAAATTACGCGTGAAATTTTGCAGCTATTCCACATAAGACAATTTGATCTTAAGTACGTGAGATCATCACCGGTGTTATTGCATTTGCGCCTTTCCTTGCTTCAACCGATGACGATTGACAATCTCATACGTGGACTTTAACTCTGAAATTCTGTGAAGGAAGAACTTTGAACATCGACGTAATGGACTTCGAACATTTTCTAAATGGACTCTCTGCAATTTCTCGATGAAAATGCAAATTGTTCGAAACGAGAATCTGTACATACATAAAATCTTCAAATATCAGGAACGATGAGTATTCATTTTTGCCATGTATGCAATTTAAATCGTGATCTACTATGCGTCAATCATATAACGATATATAAACTTGAACTTGCCGGGGGACAAGTTGATTCATATAACCAAGCCGTTGATATGATACGAGTGCTACCTATTTCTCCCTACCATCTGTGATTTTTCGTTCTGTTAATAGGAATTCGCGTTCGTATAAGAGAATTCCACCGAACATTTGCTCTTAAATACATAACAATGTTGTAATCAAAATTGTATTAATTGTAAATCATGAGAGTATTTCACGTAACACGTGTTCCTACTGTTTACATTTCAATGTTAGACGCTCATATAAGAGGATTGACGCTCGGCAATAATTTAGATAATATGAAATCAGCTAAAATATAGTAAATTAAAATCTACAATATCGTTCATGTAAATGGAGTACCACTGTAATTATAAACATCCGATATTTTACATAAAGTTATAATAAATCTTACTTAATTACTTTATGTCTGAATACGAGATTTGTACGATATGCTATATGCGTACGCATGTACTACATGCTGTGTGTACAGCATTATTCGCTTACAATCCCCGGTGTTATCTTACTTTGGCTCACTCTACTGCGAATACGTGATCGTGAATGAGACATAACAACATCCTACCTTCATAACATCGAGCTTTACGTTCTGTCCTATGGAATCCATATTCAGAGAGTCGACAATGTTTAAGAATTAGAAATTAATTACCGCGCAATTAACATTGATCTTTGCTTTTGGTATTGTTTCGATGGTACGCATCTCAACAATTTAATTGTAAGGTTGCATCATATTATACAGTACAGTACTTATACAGTTCCAAGTTTGCTTGGAACGTGCAATTCTAAAAAGTAGTGGGGACGTCGTTAATCAAAACTCGGGGTCACTTAAACGGGCAGTATTTATACGCATAGTTGAACTATCTAATAGATTTGATATAACGTTTCTGTTAAAATATTTTTCTTTAAAGAACGCGTAATTAGATCGACCACGTAATAACACTTTTCACTTTTCAAATTAATGTCTAGTCAACAAGTGAGTCACGTAATACGCGGACGAGGAAGCGAACGAAGCCTCGTGATTCTCTCGCACGCAGCATCTCGTGCTTCTCGTCATTCGTGTGTGACGTTCATTGCCTATACATTTATTACACCATATAGTGTGTACTCCGTTGTGCATTTGTTCAACGTTCGCGCATGCACGTTCATTGTTACTGGACATGGAGGGATAAACTTATTTACTACATGTACATATATATATTTTGAGCGTTAATTGAAATTTCATTGCTTTAATTTTTCCATTTTTTGATTTATGCGAATCATTTGTATCTCCAGATTAACCTTTGCCTTTCGACATACGACTTTAGCTCCAAGTTCAGAGTTTAGTTTAGCTATACACTTCTTCCCCTTGTAATTCCAATGTAATTTACATATCGTTAAAATTCATTCCCCTTCTCTATAGGACTACTGATGTTACGTGTGTTATCTATTAACATAACATTTTTGTTTGAAATTGGAGATTTTCAAGAACGATTAGAGAAATTAATTATGCATCGCAAAGGTCAAACATGTCGACCGCTATGACAGTCATCAATGTTCGATGACACAAAAGGTTAATTTACATGAAATGAACAGTCATGTTCCTAAAAAAATTTGCGATACGCTCAATGTTGGACGCGTAATAAAGCGACTAAACAGTTTATTTTTTGGTGGGGTATAGACAAATTTTTGTAAAGGAGAATTTTTTAAATTCTTTTTTTTAAATTCTTAGGTCTAAAACGTTAGAATATGCGAATTTCTTTGTCAAAAGGATACAAAATCGATATAGATAGAAGAGTTAACATTTTTACAAGCCTCTCGCAGTGTAACGAAGCTCCCAAAAACGCGGAAAGAATAAATTGATAGAATGTTTTGGTACGTGTATTTATTTTGTATCAACGATATAAATATGCAACTCTAACAATAATCGTACATCTTACGAATTTGGATAAAGACTTTATGGTACAGTTTAAAATATGAAATACACGAACATATAAACATAGTGAATATATGAATACCTACTTGATGTGTAATTATGCAAATACCAATATTGTTAATTCGTAGGAATTCGGTAAGAGTTTGTCATTTTAGTTATTAATACAATAAGATCCGTTCAATATTTGAAGCGACATGTAAATATACATATTTGTCGAACGTTTAAGATATCAAGTATGCATAGGCTAATTTAGTTTCAGATGAACTCCTATATTTTTCGTATACTTCCTAAATTGTGAAATATGTAATGTATGTATAAATGACTACAGTTTAATTTAAGTAGAAATATTAAAAGTTTTGCTAATATATGTATAGTTATAACTTTAATCTAAATATTATGTATAATAGTTGTGATAGTAATAGTAATAATAATAGTTTGAGTAGCATTTGAAATTAATTAGAAAGGGAGATCGTGTAAAAATTTCATAAATGTGCTTAACCACGCTTGAGGATTTTCCTTTTATTTGCATTTTATAGTTACGTTTTCCACGTTTTTTTAATCTTTATGCGTGCCTCTATGTCGTATAGTGTAACCCATATACCTGCGTAAATCTTACGTGTCATGCGCATTTCAACATTTCTGAAAGTTTCCTCCTTACTTATTTCGCATCTGCTTTTTCTCTAAATCGACTCAATTTTTTAATTATAGAAAATTGCGTTATTCGACGATCTCGTTAAGAGCAATCAGATTCTCGTAAATTGTTCAAATCAAGTTAATTATCAATTATTTTTCAAGTTGCACTAAAGTAGCGCTTTCTGATGTGACGAAGTTCTGCCATATGTGTTTTTGTTAGATCTGAAGCAAATCCAAAAAGTAAAATACATTGATTCTTATGCCCGCGCAAATTGCATACCAGTGCAAATATGCAGACACAATGCTAGCTATTGCTTTTGTCTCGGACATCGGATGAAGCGACGTGAAAGCGGGTCAAAACCACCTGCTATATATCGTCAGTTTGCTGCAAGAGGAACAATTTCGAGAATTAAAAATTTATTATTTTATGTAATGAAATTATATTATTTAAAAAAATACCATAGGTTCAAAAATTATTTTAATTCTGTAGCTCTTTTCTTAATAGTGAGTTATATGCATGGATAATATTTTATTAAAGACTTAAAACTTTAAAGTTAACTAAATTATAAGAAAAAAACTCTTTCATCGGTAAATAATCGAATAATTAATTATTTTTTATTTCAATTTTTTTATTTTGAATTGATTTGTAGAATAATTTATTTTTCTTATTTATATCACTTTTCTATCAAACCAAAGATGTGTATATATAGATATAGATATAGGTTTTGTTATATCCATTTGTATGTATTATAAAAATTTTATATTGAAATCCTCTTTCATTAATTTTTGTTTTCAAAAAATATATGTCTGATAATGAAAGTGAAAATATAGTAGGATAAAATTGATCTGGGAAAACTCAATCACCAATGAACGTATTAAGTCAATAAGTGAATAACAGAACACACGCTATTGGCACAACATTCTTTATAAGCGCGGCTATAAGACCTCATACAGATATCATTGAGTTGAATCTTCGCCAGAGTGTGAATTAAGGAACATAACGAAACCTGTACTGTGTATGAAGTTACGACAATTGTATCAACGTCACCAATTACGTTTTATAATTGCGCTAGTTGTTATGACAAATTGCACGCGATACGAAAGAAATTTATTTATCGATTATTTAAATATTTCGTATAAACGAAGTTTCTCAATTGTTGCTATTGAAATACATATTCGTGAAAAAAGCACAGGTTTGAGGGAAATATGTCTACAAAATAATATTTCATAAAGTTTCAGACTTTTTTATTTTTGTAATGTAGAATTATAGAAATATAAGTAATATTTGGTAATGGAAGTATAAAGAAAGATAAAGAAACAAATAATATATTTTATCCTGTTCACATATAAATTAAAAAGCAATTAGTCGAAGCAAAATCATTCTCCGAGTCAAAGGCATCAACTCAGATATCTGTGGGAATCTCGAATAAAACTACGGTTACGTGTTACGTGTTAACGATTTCTACACCTGCCAACCCAAACGCAAAACGTAATATATATAATTGTCAAGTGCCACACGCTGATATCGTAGATTAAATTACTTCCACTTAGAGAAATATTGTCGAATGCGAATACTAAATCCACATTATAATTTTTTTTCATTAATTTTTTTTTAATCTTTCTGGAGATTAATATCTCTGATATCTTTTATGAACATCGTGAGTTTTATTTACATATTCATGGTTTTAAAGTGTTAGTAGATAAAAATGTTTCATTATATAAAGAAAACAATTTTTTGAATTAACATCCATTTGCGAAATAACTCTACTAAGATTTAACATCTTACAGTTTCTGTCGACTATACGTGCGGCGTGTATTTATATCATCTTATGCGGTAACGAAATTGATCTATTCCAATCTCTCACTCTTTTAGCCATAATTTCCTTAGAACTCTTTCGTGTATACCCGAAATACTAGAGATCCTTCGTCTGAACGAATCTAAATCTTCTTATTTTCATGTTCAAGGTTGCTCTATGTAGGTTCATCGATTGAGCGTGTCTTCCGTACGATTCAGAGCGTGTTACGTTTGCATTCACCGTTCGAAAATCAGTCTTCCGATATAATTCGACTCGGTACGAACGGAGAATCAGTTTGTTCTCCCTTCTCCGGCTCTCGATTCATTTTTCTCGATTGTTCGGCCCGGTAAATTCACGTTTCCCCGTTCTCAAAGCGTATGGCGCTCACCTCACACGTATTCTGCCAACCACACAGACACGTGGCCGTTGCGGATTGCGAGTTCCACGAGGTATATGTATTCTAGTATACGGTGCAGGAACACGTCGATACTATTCTAGTGTGGTGCGCGACCAGCCGCACGTATTTCAACGAACACCATTCGCTGGTTTGAAGTGGCGAGAGCAGCAATGCGCAGCGTGATTGGCTCAGACCATCTCAGCTGAGCCGTAGTTCGAGGGGCGTCGCAACGTGTCTGATTTTAGGTGTCCCTCTATCAAGCAGAAACTCACTATTATCGAAGCGGTTCTGCACTTGTTGGCGTTTACCCTGCCTACACTACTTTATACTCTGCTGATGCTACTTGAATTTCCCGCGCAATTCAGAAAATCTTGGTAAACATTAATTCCTTTTTTACCTCCTTTCATGATCCTTATTGCTCGTTGCAATTCGAACGATTTACGATTGTTATTCGTTCATTCAGAAATTGGTTTCCTAGAACAGATACAAATATCATGGATGATTGAACGAAACATAACACTTATGTGTGTATAATGCGTATTTTTTATACTATGTATCTATTAGACGTTATTATGAAATGTAGGGTATTTAATCCTTTCTATAGACTCGATTTATATTTCATTCAATTTTTCTTAGGATTAACATTGTACTACTGCATTTGTAGCAATAGCTAATTTAATAATGTTTTCAATGACAACAGAAAATGGTAACAAAAAGAACTATGCATATACACATATCTACAAATGTTTTTCTAATATTGCTGGCGCATTTACGTAGTTTATAATTGAAATACAATTACATGTAAATCCGTTTTTTCCTTTCCTGGTTTTTATTTGTAACTTCAAATCAGACGAAGTTAATTCTAGCTTTTTATCATTTATATTTAATACAAGTAAATATTATCTGAAGTTTTATCATTGTCAGACATCGAATATTAATAGAGAGCAGTTTTGCGTCAGATTTTGCAACAAATCTAAGGAACAAAAGTCATCGATAACTCCATAATATATCTAGGTTTTAACTTTGCACACTTAGTGTTAAGACATATTCAGAATCACTTTAGATTAGATTACCAGTTCACGTGCTTGTGGTTTGATTCAAATATTTCTATAATTCGTATTTTTGCGAATTAAATGTGACAGTGTATAGTGTTACAAGGAGTGCGGTCACAGCTCTTACACATCTTAATCTTTTTAATGAGTTTTTGCACAATAGTAACGTTTGAAATGATAACAATACATAGGTCATGAATGAATCAAGCGTAGAGTTTAACGAATTGAAATTAATGATATTAATGAATAATTCATAAGATTTCTAAACTTTCAAGACTCTCAGTTATAAGTGTTATAAAATAACGAAAGATTTACGATAGGTGATATAAAAAATAACTATTTTATTTTAGTAAAGCCTTCTTTCGTATTTCTGGATATACAATATTTTGTGAAGGGATAAATATTAGTATATAAATAACTACGTTACGTAATTGGTGGTATTTAATGCAACCTTTACGCATAAATACCGTAGAGTTTTATACGTTACGAAAGAGTTAATATTAAAATTTTATTTTCTAACGTGAAACTGTGATTGTAACTGAAATGACAGTGGCGTGATCTGTACGATGCCAGCCGTACTGGTATGCAGTCTATTGCAAATTCGAATCCTATTTTCAAGACAATATCCTTTTTCATATATTTACCATTTATAAATTATCTTTAATATGAGAACTGTCCAAAATAACCAGTTGGTGAAATATTTGACAGATTTGTTATTTTTACGATACACATAGACTATTGTTGTTATTGTAAAAAGTAATTAATGTTAATTGTTATCGAGATAAAACCATGTCTGTGTATTTTTAACATGTCACTTCAATTACAATCATCTATGCGATGTTATAATATACTTACAGGTACGTACATTACATGTGTGTAGGTTGCTCCTAATATCGAATATTTTCTTTAGTAATATATAAAGAAACTTAGATGGTTGTAAATATACATTTTATTAATTTTTTACATGTTTTCATATATAGCATTATACAGGGTGGTTGGTGGTTGGTGGGGCGAAAAAAGAAGTCGAAAATATAGGACAAAAATTCTTTTTTTAATTTTTTTCCTTTTTTTTAATTTTTCCATCGAGACAACGATCTGCAGTGAGATCCGTTATAACGTACCACAGGTGCACCGAGCGAAAATTCAAAGTCGATTTTCTCGAAAACAAAGCCTCAAATGAAAAATTTTTATTCTATATTTTCGACTTCTTTTTTCGCGTAGAATCACCCCCTTTCCGCTTGCACCCCCAGTCACCAACCACCATGTATATTGAATTCTTGTCATATCTCCATTTATTCTTATTCCGTTTTTCTTTTATTCATTTATAACCAATATCAATTCATGAAGCTGGATATTATTAGCTTTAACTTTTCGAGCAGCAGGTACCAGTGGCTAATCAAATAATTAAAGTTACACGCGAGAACCTTTTCTTGCTAGGTCGAGGATAGACACTATGAATATAAAAGATAAAGAATCAACATTGACCGATCACGTACAATGGAAAATTGATAAAAAGTCAACAACGTTGTTGTATCTATCATTTGTTTCACTGATACTAGAATGATAATGTCTGAAAGATATATGTGATAAAATATTGAAAAATTATAAATATGTAATACTGTTGTGATAAATGGTATTGATCAAACGTGGGTTAGAATAGAACATGAATTTCTAAATATTTAGCCGCGCGTGTTCGTGCATTCATAAATAGTTTAAAAATGTATTCGTTCACGTTTCTATCCAATTCTACATAATTCGTATATTCACCTGTGTACGAACTTCTTTGACCGTTAAATTGATTGTCCATTTAATCATCATATCATCATATGACATCATTCGGTTATTTCATCAAGGTCTTATATAGTAGTCGGTATCTGCTTGTAAATAAGTCGAGAATAAATTATATCCATTCGACGAAGTGATCGATTGAAATTTTAGAACTATGACTATGTATATTTCGATATAGACAAAGTGTGTTGCATGTAAGCATAGAAAAGTATTTTATTAGACGAATTACGTAAATGCTATTAGCTTTATGTAATCACGCGATACGTTTGTTTGGTACGTAATCTCTCCTTATCTTCATACCATTAGAAAATCTCTATGACCCTTGATCACTATCGAATTAACGCACGAATAGTCTAATATCGATCGGTATCGTTGTCCTCCTTCCGGTCACTTTATTATTCTAAATAAAATAATGCTTATAAATAATGAAATAAAAAGTTAATTTATTTTATATGGTGAATTGTTATATAGTAGATTGTATATAGTAAAAAGTTAAACAAGAAGTGAAAAGATACAATAACTAAAATATTGTAATTATAACGCTCATAGCAAATTGTACGTTATCTGAGAAGAGTGTTAGATTCTAAAGAAGTCAAAGAATTCAATTTTCAATTTAATTGCGTTTCGACTGATGATTCCTTTAATTTGTGGCATATATATCATTTCTTATTAACAAATTGTTGACGAACATGGATAAATAATTTGTGTTATAACGCTGTCGCTATAAATGCAAACACGTTAACAGTTAATTATGTAATTGTCAGAGAAACAATATCGTAAGACGTAAATTATGTTACATGGATATGATACTGTTTTTTATGGCTTGGACAAAACATTATATTCTGAATGTATCAACCTTTTTCTTGTGAGGAATATACTTCCATAAATTGTACATTATAAATGAATTTATATAAATAATGATGTTATGATTCCGTCGCTAGTTATATATCACACATTGTGTAATATATAAATTGTTGCGATATTTTTTATCTGCGGGAAGGGTGAATTGCAATTTTACACATATTTTTATTTTCCACTGTGTAATTTTACACGAGGTCATTCAAAAATTCATTGTGATGAATGTACGAGATTATCAACGGTGACAAATCAGCCATTTTCCGACCCTTTAATTTCAGCCAATATAACGAACAGAATATGTATAATTGATAATTGGTTAATGTAACGTAAATGATTGACAATTGCCTATGACTTACGGATGTGACCTGCGAATCAAATTGAATAAAGAAATTCGATTACTGAATATGGAGATTCTTCGTTTCGTATGGATCATACATTTGACATTTAGCAATTGTATATGTATGCGTATTTAGGAATTATCAGTACACGTAGTATAACAGTAATACGAAGTTAATTTCACTTTCATGTACTGAACATCTTAAATTATGAACAAACGTCTCTTAATAAAAATTATAAAAAACCGGAAAAACTGTAATTGTTATGTTGAAATCTTGATTTTGTTGATAAAAATTGCAATATTCATCTATTCTTTATCTTCCGTTCTAGCATATCTCACTATATTTTATACCCAAAATTTTGCGTTTGCTGCTATAAAATCTCTAGTGAATTGTCCTTCGCTCTCCGTCCTAGCGATTCGACTTTCTATACATAAGATACGAAACGACATTCCATTCCGTAATCTCTATCATTTTCAACCCCATTTCATGGCACCCCATTCTCCGCTATATTTCTGCCTCCTATTCAGCAATTTCTTTTCAAAGCAAACAGACTTCTTTACTTTCTAAAAAACCCTGCAGCCACATCTCCGCCATTTCATTGCCGATGCTAACCCTATCCTTACACTCGCTCTCCTTTATACTCCCTCCCATAACGTTATCATTCAACATTTTCTGTCTTCTATAGCAACACTTTTACTCTCTCGTACCTTCATAACCTCCATTCTCTGTCTTTCTCTCTCCGAACTTTTTTTCTCAACTCCCTCAAACCTTCGTTCCTACCCCAACTTGTTCAACTGAACTTGTGTCAAGGTTCTGGACAACGTACGTTCTAGTCGATTTTATGGTCTTTGATAAGGATCAACGGATCCTAGGAAAGAATTTCGACCAACGAAACTCCGTCGCGAGGAAGATGTACATATTTCGGTGGTGTCGCGTCGGTACGCAGTACGGACGAGCCTGCGTGCCAAGGAGGGCGCGCGTCTCGCGATCTAGCCTTCAGTCGATAGACGACCACGCTCGGGCATCGACGAAATATTTCATTCTCCTTTTCTACCCCAGTAGCATATTTTCCATTGACTCGGTCTACTGCCACCACCTCTTCCACCCCTTTGCTGTCGCTGGACCCGTAGTGGAGGTTACAGGTGTTGCCAAACGGGCGTCTGGCAGCTGTTGTCCCTGAATATATGTATAGACGTTACGGGTCGACGACTGTGATAAACCCGTGATAACAGTGAAAGTGGCGATTCTTGAGGACGATTTAAATACGATCTAAGGTTCATTAAACATATCTAGGTAAAAGACAGAGTGAATTTTCGAACTGTAAAATATTAACGGTGGACACTTTCGTTTGAATTTTGAATGCGAGACGTTATTAGCAAAAGGAAATGGTAAAAGAATTAGTTAATCGTAGGATTAAATCGTTGATTCATGGACGAATAGAGTCGCAGGTGATGGATTGAATTTGTAAGGTTGGTCGGGGAAGCTGTTTTCACTGCTGGTGTTATCGATTTCGTCGGGATGTCCTGTTTTGACGGGACGAAGGGATGGTTGTTCGGTTTCATGTCGGGAAATATTTCGCAACGTTTGCACAAGATTCCATGTATGAGGATCTAGAATGTACTTAGGCGACACATCTGTGAACCGATGAACAGGTATGGTTTTTTGTTATTACGGAGAAAGGAGGTTCGGTGAGTGTTAGAATTTTTTTTCCTTCGGTTCTCTTATTCTTTGCTCTCTTGTGTTTTCTTCGACGTTCTCTGCGTTTCCTGCGGCACACTTTTGTGTTTCCAAGGATAAGAATTCTAGTAAATTTCTTAGTTAGTTATTTTATTTTTCAGGTGACTGGAGAGTTATTATTTGATATTTCTTTCGTTCGTGTCATTTTGTCGTTAATTGAGCGACCATATTGTAATGAGTTTGTTGTATTTCATGTCATTTCGTATTATGACATTCTTAATAAATGTATATTAGTTTATCGAAACAAGTAGAAGTGTGACCTTTCTATTACAACATTCAATTGCCATTTTGAATAAAGAATGAAATATTTTAGTGTTCAGTTGAATACAATTGAAGTTAATGCATGTCAGTTTATTAGAAAAAAGTTCGATTCATAATCGTTTTATGGGACAATTTTCTGTTTTACGAAAAGATATAAATATCGTTGAATAAAAAATTTTCATTATATCATCGTTTCAATTACTGGAATAAAAAGATTTACAGAGTAATTTAATTGATACCCTTATATCGAAGAAATACCTAAGGGGTCACATATGTTAATAAATTGATTCGAAGATTGCCCTGTTGTGTAATACTTGCACGATGATCATCAGCTTTACCAACACGTTCAAAGAACTGTGCCGATGAATTAATAACTGATTAATGTTCGAGTTTCTCAATAAAGTACCATTTTATTATTGTGAATTATTAATTAATATTGGTGAACTTGCCATATATATTCCACGCTATCGTATCGGTATTTTTCAGTTTTTGGTAATTCTGATTAACCGAGAGTAACATTGATACACATATATCGTTGTAAGATAGCAGAAAAGGAAACAGAAAATCATTATAGTTGAGCCTTCCTTAGAATTTAACATGCGTTATTCATATCTTTTAAGATGTTTCAACATTTTAACGTTCAATGTTCAACAACCAATTCCTTTTATATTTTATTCACTGCCTCATAATTAGAATGAAATACAATGATATGCACAATATCGCAATAGAACATTATAATAGAACATATTATGTAATAGCTTATACATACGTAGTTGAATTTGAATATGTGTCAGGGAAGTTTTTCCAAACAGTGTTTTTTATGTCGCATTATTAAGCTGCAAAAGGGAAAGAATCTCCATTGTAAATAATCCCGTGTAAATAATAATTCCATTCTGCGCAAGAAATGTATACTTAATGTTGCACTTTTTTCATTTCAATTCCAATGATTCATTTCTCATATACATATATCATGCGTCACATATTTGTGTATACCTACGTTGACGTCAATTCTTTCGATTGCGCCGAGTTAAAATGTATAAAAACATAACAGGATTTGATTAGTATTTATGCATTCATTATAACGTAATACTATTACGAAGTTGAAATATTAAATTATGTAGATAAATTTGCGCTCTTTATTAATATCCATGTGAATTTCTTGTAGCTTTGTACGAATTGTTTCGGTAATTCTAATACACTGTTTTCCCTTTTTAGGAAGAAAGGAGGAATGGCGCCGAATATAACGAGTAGCCCGACAGGTGTACTCTTTGAGGGTGAAACTCTGGAGGAGAGCTCAAGGGTGATCGACGCGCCTAAAACGAAATACAAGAGACAGATCGTTTGGAGGAATGTGATTATTTTCACGTATCTTCATATAAGCGCCGTCTATGGACTGTACCTCGCTCTTACATCGGCAAAATGGGCCACACTATTATTCAGTGAGTGAAAGTGTGAAAATATTTTTTGTCCATTATCTAATACTAATATTTATAATATCTTGTAACCAGAATTGTATCTTGTAACTGTAGGATTGACCTGTTATAAGTCAACAACCGATCCGTTCAGCTTATCTCTTCACCCTCTTTCATCTTATTGTACCATTACGGAAACATTCTATTGAACTCAACTATTTTTAACTATATTTTGAAAAAGAATTCTCTTAATTACCTGTAAATTCGTGACAACTTCTGTGGAATTGTCTAGACCCAGTTATATTGTCTATGCGATAAAATGACCTCGTAAAATGGCATCGTACCAAATTTGAGTTCAGAAATCGTACGTTCGATGGGTTGTATGCCAACGAAACCAAAGCTTGTACGAATAAGTTAGTCAGCGTTAATTAATTATTCGAAAGAGGAAGGTAGGAAGTAATAATATGCTTTAACGAGACGTTAAATTGCACACACATGTTGACATGTTGACGTACTCAGATTTCCTTGTTTGTTCTAGAAAAATTCTTTCTGGATTGTTGTTCACTCTGATAATAATTATTATTATCGTGATAGAGTTGATATTATAAACGTAATTATCAATAGATTGTAAAATAACAATTAATTTTTTACTTCATTCCCTTTTATCCTTGATTTTCTTTAACAAGATTTTTTCTTCGCTTTGAAAAAGTTTTAATTATTGAACAATCGTAAATACAATGTAGTAAACATGTTGATAAAATTTTTGTCGTACTTAATGAAACTTACATAACCCAGTTTATAAACGGTCAATTCTAGTACGTTCTTTCATAAGATTCAATGATTCCTATGTATCGATACGATCAAGATCAGTATCCTTAACGTTCGTTTTTGTTTTGCAGCGATCTTCTTGCATGTATACAGTGCTTTGGGAATTACAGCTGGTGCTCACAGATTATGGGCACACAGATCTTACAAAGCGAAATGGCCGTTGCAGTTGTTCCTGATGATTGGCAACACAGTAGCCTTCCAAGTAAGCAATCGATCGAGTAATTACTGAACGATGAACCGTATGATGACCTCGCTACATGATAAGACTGGGAAAGAAAAGAGAAAACAAATTATTGTCCAGACGGCTTTTAAATCATTTTAATACGAACTGTATTGTATCTAGTGGATGAAATTATGGAATCTCTGGAAGTAGATATGACAACATTGAGAGATAAAAAAATATTTGAGTCATTGGATTGTTCGAAAAGTTCTACTAGAAGTACAGGCTCTTAGAGTATTCGATTTCTCTAAGTTGAAATCAAACGTAAACGAGATCTCTAATTCTTTAATATATCAAAGATCAAGTAGCGATACTTCCCCTAATGCCCGACTCTTGGTGCAACTAGAAATGGTTCAGAGTAAATAGATTTTTGTTTTCAAGTTATTCTTTTTTTTTTTCTAATACGTTTATCCTCGATAGGATGCGGCAATCGATTGGGCCAGAGATCACAGACTTCACCATAAATACAGCGAGACGAACGCAGACCCTCATAACGCAAAGAGGGGATTCTTCTTCGCGCATGTTGGTTGGTTGCTGTGTAGGAAACATCCGGACATCCGCGCGAAAGGCAAAGGAATTGATCTCAGTGATCTGAAGAACAATCCTATACTGAGTTTCCAGAAAAAGTGAGTGCCCTTTATCGATTCCCCTTGCGATCCACTGAAATGGAAAATTTGATCTTCTTTCTACGTTCAGTATTAAATTAGAAGATTTTTAAGAATCGATTCGAAACATTCAGGAAAGTTGATCACTATGGCAGAAGATTGTAGTTGTAGATTGTTACAGTATTTTTAACTAGAATGGAGTGATCTTGAGTTCTATTTTTAGATAATTTTATTAAAATATATTTTATATACGGAATAAATATAAATAAAAATAAACAAATAAAGGAAGATAAGGTTTCTAATGCGTTGTACAATGTGTCTACAGATATTACGCGATTCTGATGCCTCTACTGTGTTTTATTGTACCGACTATAATTCCTGTCTACTGCTGGAACGAGACTTGGGGAAACGGTTACTTCGTCCCTACTGTTTTGCGCTACGTCTATACGCTGAATATGACTTGGTTGGTCAACTCTGCGGCCCATATGTTTGGAAACAAACCATATGACAAGTTAGTATTATTTGTCATAGTTTTGGTTCTATTTATCGAGTTAGTCGGTTTCGAAAGAAACAGAACTTGTCGTATATTTCGCGTTAAAAAAAAAACCATCGACAAAAATCTCTAATTTTCTAATAAGCTGTATTAAAAAAACTGTAATGGAAGAGGAATTAAATGATATTTTTTAGGTATATCAACCCCGTGGAAAATAAAATGGTAGCCATAACGGCGTTAGGTGAGGGTTGGCACAACTATCATCACGTATTTCCATGGGACTACAAAACGGCAGAATTGGGCAATTACAAAGTTAACATAACAACGTTATTCATTGACGCCTGCTCAAAACTTGGTCTCGCGTACGATATGAAGATAGTACCTCAAGATCTGGTGCGGAAACGAGTAGAGAGAACCGGCGACGGAAGCCATAACGTGTGGGGTTGGGGTGACAAAGATCAGACGCAACAAGATAGAGATGTGACAATGGTGGTGAATCTGAAGAAAGATCATTAACGGACACAAATATTGTGCTAGGCTGATCGTTTTCTCAATAGAAAATAGTAAACGACAGCCTACTTCTTTGTACAGTTCTTTACGGAAGGGGTGGTATATAAGTTATCCGGTAATCAATTGAAATATTTTGGGATAGCTCTTAATATTCTTAGTTATCCGGTTATATTAGCATCAGTTATATCCAATTTTTCCGATATTGGTTTACAATAAAGGATAAAATATTGTATATTGTTTCGTTGCGTGTTTCCGCCAAGATTGATATTCGCCCCAAGTGTACAAAAGTACGCGTTACTATCGAACAAAGATCTTTATTCTATTTTATTAGTCTTATGTTATTGTAATGTAATCTTAAAATAATAGTTAACGTACTTTGAATATCAATTTCTACAAAATAAAAAATATTTATATCTTGATTGACGGCGTAGGCTGTCTTGCGGATTACTGATCGCGGCCGATATTATGGTTACGTGAACTCTAAGTGTCTTCAGTGATTATGGGTGAAAATCGATACTTCGGTTAGACACTTTAACGACGTCCTAGATCGTAACGATAGACTCGCAGGCGACGATAGTTTAAAACTATATATATATATATAATATATATATATAACTATATATATATAACTATATATATATATATACACCAAACTTCGAAGAACATTGATGCTTGTAATAGCTGGTGAAACTGTTCCATAGGATTTATGGATACTGAATTAAATTTCTGTTCTTGAGCTCTCTATCCGATGGCAGTGTGGATTCTGTTCTTAGGAGGCTTCTTTGCTGTCTTTGTCTTTTATTTATTTCATATTAATAGTCGATATCAGAGCTGCGAAGGATAAAAGGAGATAAATATGAATGTTTTTAGCATGTTTAATGAGAAAAAAATGTTATGTTAACGCGAATTATTATAGCGACCACATAATTAGGACGCGTTAAACGTATTCTCATAAAGAACCAAGTGAATCGAGAGAAATTCGTCGAGGATTTTATGCTTTATGATAATATGCCTCTTTAGCCGTTTTAATGCTATAAATCATTCGTTCTTTCAAAAATTGAAAATTTTTCGTAACTCTGATTCGTACGGTTTCACTATTGTTTTTCACCTTACACATTTCCGTTTTCCCTTTTATGATCGTTCCTTAATCCTTTCAAGATGCTTGCTCTCATCCTACTTATATAATAGCATGCTATTTTTGTAATAAAAATTCTATCTTTCGTTTCTACTTTCTCTTTCCTGTCTTTCTCTTTATTTTTATTTGGAAATTTAATTACAATACAACTTAAATTATTTAGTAGCGATGTTTGAGTCATTTATGGGAACACTGGAATTTAATATACTGCGTTTCCTTTTCCTCTCTTTCGACTCGTTATTGGGTCGAATTTAACCTTAGAAAGCGGAAACTAGAAGAAGAATGTAAAAAAATATAGCTTTAGTTGATCTTTCTTCGAATATTTTCTTTTTTCTTCTTTTATATTTACTTTTTTTATTACTGAATACAACATTAATTATCTTCATCGATTATCACTGATATGATCCTAAATATTTTTCTATGCGTATGGTAGGAAGCAATGTTCTTTTCGTTTTTGGAAATTGACATTATAATTTGTGATATGTAGAATTGCAGAAGATAGTACAATACATTTCTTCAATTAAAGATGTTTAAAAAATAGAAGAAGCGTCACGCTTTCTCGGGTTAAAGACTAAGAAAGATAGAAGAAACAGAATATGATATCTTCCTAATTTGTTCTCTCTTCCTAATAAGAAGTGAGCGCGTAAAAAACACAATAATATTTGTACTCGACGACACTATTTGAAAAAACACATTAGAAAGCGTGATTGTAAAAAGAAGAAGAAAAAACCGAACGAAACTAAGATGATGTCGATCAATACGAAGACCTCTGGTACCTTTAAGAAAAGCACGCCGTGCTCTGCAACGATTTGCACGTGTATATTTGTAAAATTATTTGCATAGTCGACATAGTCGATTGCAAGAAAGATTGTAAAGAAAGTGAAAAAAACATTGTACGCTTAATGTAAATGTAAACGACTGTCAGTTTTCTACTTGAACCTCTTATTTCGAATATTTTTTGTTATCGTGCGGGCGCTTGTGAAATTTGTTGATATATTTAATATTTGCTTTTCTAAGAGACATTCCATCCTTGATAAAATATCCTTCCCCGTGTAAAGAATTGAAAAATTAGCTAAACAAATTCTCAGGCAAGGGTCTCCTTCGTTATCTTCAGAACTTCATTAAAAAAAGGAACAGTAGGCAGCAAAATTCTTTCTACGTTCAAACATATGGTGAATCTCTCTTTGCTAAAAGTGTCTTAGAACATTAATTTCGAAGTACCACTACAAGAAACAAAATCCTTTCTCTTCGTTGATTTGTTAAAAAAAAAAAAAAAAAAAAGGACATTTTTTGTTATCGTGCGGGCGCTTGTGAAATTTGTTGATATATTTAATATTTGCTTTTCTAAGAGACATTCCATCCTTGATAAAATATCCTTCCCCGTGTAAAGAATTGAAAAATTAGCTAAACAAATTCTCAGGCAAGGGTCTCCTTCGTTATCTTCAGAACTTCATTAAAAAAAGGAACAGTAGGCAGCAAAATTCTTTCTACGTTCAAACATATGGTGAATCTCTCTTTGCTAAAAGTGTCTTAGAACATTAATTTCGAAGTACCACTACAAGAAACAAAATCCTTTCTCTTCGTTGATTTGTTAAAAAAAAAAAAAAAAAAAGGATGCTCAGCATGTTTCTCACCGATCTGTACACTTTTAGAGAACATTCGCCGTATCCATCATATATGTTTTTCTGAAAATTGGTTGTCGCTATGATTACACGTTTCTGACCGATTCTTCGTTTCCATATATAGCATCTACTTATTTTCCTTCACCCTACTGGCTTTTCAGGTGTTCACTTGTGAGTATAAGAAGTGTGATAATTGTATGAATTCGCGTTACGATGGCGGTACGACGGTGTACACAGAAGATTGATATCAAAGATTACATAGAGATTAGCAATTAGTGTGAAAAAAGACGAGGGGGGCAAATTTCGCTAACGTTGTGCGAAATTTTGAAGAAAGTATATATGACGGTATTTTTCACGAGATCGCCCTCGTTTTTTCTATGTGTTTTTTTTTCCATATGTATAAAGAAATAACTCGCATACAAGTATACTAAGATCTTTTCGCAGACGTACAAATATGTCCGTTCGCAGGCGTTTACTGTGCAAGGAACTATCTGAGATTAGTTCTAAGATTTAATCTTAACTTTAAATAAAAGTGTGATGTGTTACCAGATTTTAAGAGACAAATATATATGTTGTTTTGTTACCAGATCAGGACGAAATGATTGATTTTATTCCATTTCGTAGCATGCCGGTAATTATATAAGAGCATTCAGGGTAATCGTTTCTTTCGTCTGATTAATTTCTTTCTCGTTGCATGAGTAGTAACGTAACCGGGCATTTACTGAACGATTCATTTAGAGCGGACATACTTTCTCATTTTTTCCTTAATTCTCTTTCTTACTGTACTTTTTGTTTTTATTGAATTCAAAATTAAATTTGTCGTGTGATTTTAATTGTAATTTCGTTTAAACTATAATTTGATGGAATCGCGTATTTATGGAATTTAGTAATTTAAGCTTGTTTCACATGGTGATATCTGTTCCACTATATTTCATTGCCTTATTATTCTTCTAATACCGATCAACCTAGAGCAATTGACAGTTTCGCAATTTTCAATTGAGACGAAATGCTCTAATTAACTAATATATTATTCTCTGCACAAAATGGTTGATAAACTAAAGGTAGTTGCATGAAATTTTAATCATAGATGTTTAATGATCTTTTCTTTTTTGTGTGGTTTTGTCATCATAAATTATATCATTGTTATTATAAAATTAATATATTATCAAAATATAACAAAGGTTTATATTCGTCAGTGAGCAATAACTTGTACGATTTGTCGATGCTCAGAATCATATCAAATAACGTTGGTAAAGGAAGACGATAAAAGCGACGATAAAAGAACAATGAAATCTATCGTTTTAAGCTGCGACAAATCGGTACACTTTTAATTTCTGCTCAGTTCTTAACCATCAGCTTCAGTTTTTTTGCGTTGTACATAGATTTTTCTTTCAGCTTTCCAAGGCCCTCCGCGAGCGTCATTTTCTTCTTGCTCACTTCGTGAAGCATTTCTCTAACATCCTCGGAATCAGTTGTTTGCAACAAAGTAACATAACCGAGCTCGTGCCATATTTTGATGAAAAACGTGGCGCAACCGTCCGCGTAGCTGCCGAATTCACCGCACTTCCAGTCCCATGGTACCATGTAGTGATACATCGGCCAAAATGACTTCGTTAGGAAGAATACACTGATGTTGTCTTGTGGCAATCTGGAACCGTGAGTAGTTTGCTTTGGATTCGGTACTTGATCATGCAAAAATTTTCGATACAAAGATTTCTTTAATTTTTTGTCGCGATATCGATGTAAAATCTTTTCTCTAATTTCCAATTTCTCCTATAAAAATTTCTTCGTATGAAATTTCGTGATTCTTTCGCGTTGCTTCAATATTAAGAAGAGAATTTCTTTCTCGTTAACCAATGCACAATGTTTTATCGAATAACGAAGATGGATATGAAGCGATATCGACAACTAAAGGAAATAATTTTCTAATTAAATTACATTGTATTTTACGAGTTCAAAGAATTTGTTAATCTCGTCGAACAATTACAGCGAAATGATTAATCAGAGGATCGTTTGTATTAGTTTCATCAAGCTTCTTATATTTTCAACGAATTTAACATTTTATTGAACGGTGATTCCATCGTTGTCTATCCTGACAGTGCCGTGGCTACCAGGCATTTTAAAGAACAGTTTGTACAATATGCTAAAGGTATCTGAAATTTGCATTAACTTTTGCGTTTCCATACTCCAGATCAAGCGTGCGCTGTTCACCAGCCAAGATACGTTCACCGTAATGGCGAATCGCAGCACTCCCGTGATCAGTATGGTCTCGGTCATCGATTCGTCCCAGTATTCCAGCGGCGCGTTCAATGGCAATATTAGTCCGAATATTATGAATAACGGCCAGTAGAATCTGTAAATACAAAGAAGAGAAATTGCGTTACGAAGATGCGTGAAAAATTAGGCAAGAAGTTAAATATTGAACGCTTGAACGAAAGAAAATATCTATGTTCGAAGAAATGGAATTGTGCGAAGAAGAGTCGGTGCCAGAAATTATTAGGCGAGTGTTATATTGTCAAAGAACGAGGGTCTCTTGTTTGGAAAGAGTAGAAAGAGCAATGCAGGTTATTAGAAATGAAATTTAAACGAGTGAAAGCAACGAGTCAAAAATAATTTTTGATAAAATAATAAGAAATGTAAGGAAATTAGACATTTTTGGCGTTCGTTAAGAAGATCTTACTTCTTTTGAAACCAAACATAGCCATCTTGCTCGATATCACGCATATCGATCTCACGTTTGATCTCTTCAATGTCCATACTCGGTGACAATATATTACCTACATAGTGACTATAGAAAAATCCTTTCTTATGATTGTAAGGGTCTTTATCTGTCCCATAATACTTGTGATGAAGCCTGTGGTACAATACCCAGTCGTGTATCGAACCCTGTAAACAAAATATAATTTACTAGGATAAGAACATGACAGATAAGCTGTAATAATAACAATTAACTTATTAACCGGTTCTTCCCTTAAGCAGAAATTTCAGGTACCTACCACTCCTGCTAGGGTGTGAAACAACATGAGGAGAAGCCTAAGAGATCCCGTGGCTTCGTACGTACCGTGAGCCCATAATCTATGGGCACCTGCTGTCACTCCAAGGCAACCAAGGGTCGTTATAAACAACGCTGGAAAATTTATTGACTGATCACAAAAGGTATAGGCTAGAATTTGATTATTGTTTTAATAGAATGAAAGAATAAAGCAATATGTCTGTTCCTAGAACGAATAATAAATGAAACTCTTGAAAAGACTATGTCTTAGTGGAGGGGCACGGAACGATTGAAGCGATAAATGTACCACAAGTTACAAAATTCGTCGTGTGAAACAAAAGAATAATAAAGTGGGTGTTTTCTTACTAAAAATCACAGTCATCCATTTAGCGGAAGTGAACAAAAACCAGATAGCGTATACTCCGAGGACGTGTATATAAATGTACCATAAAATAGCCGCCCATTTCATTTCTTGTTTCCTTGCTGGTTGTTTCTCGTCCAACATCGCGCTGTTTTTAAACAAATTGAAGATTACGCATGTCGCTCGACGAAACACAATCGGCACACATTTTCGTCTATTCAGGATACTAACTTAGATCATTAAAAAATAAAGTTCGATAAAAGTCACATAAAGTTGAAAAGGAAAAGACGAAAAATACATTTTAGCAACACCAAATTGAAGTCTCCACGAAGGAATCCATAAAAGATTTCGAAGAACGTTTACAGCTTAAAAATTGATATTCTCTTTATATATTCTCTTAGCTAAGAATGCCACGAAATCGAACAACACACTGGAAACGAGAGGCAATACAATTTGAAAAGTGAGTTCACGTGTTCAGGCAGTTGTGGATCGAAATTTACCTTTTTCTGTAGCACGAGACACGCTTCTGAATAGTCGGAAAAGAACTACTTAAACGAATGCGAACCATAAGCCTTGTCGACCGACCTTTTGGCTTCTGTTTGAATCTCATTAATGACTAAGATTTCACTTCGTCATTTCCTTTGTTTTAGCGTTCTTTAATTTGAAAATGAGTTTGAAGAATCGTTTCCAACTCGGTCACGATTGCCGATAACCATCGCCCTCTTGATACGATGTTTAGCATTAGTTACAGTTGAAACTACCTTTGAGATTTTTGCCATTAGATGGAATTATTGGGAAACATCATAACGAATAGACGACAAATCGGTAATTTCAAAAACAGGAAAATAGAAATTGAAAGGGCTGCATTGCGTTGTCCAAAGTTTTTGTATCAAGAAACTTTTCAATTAGAAGATTAAACAATTTTTAAGATATGCGCAAATCTGAGAACACGTAATTTCGTTACTGCCACTTATTGCGCTGTGTTGTTTATAAACTGAATCACCAGATTACATTAATTATCCGTCTTTATCAAAATATCTAAGAACGTGTGAAAATATCAATATTAATTTAGAATACAACTGCAAGGGTAACTTTTGAACAATTCTTGAACAATTTCTAAATAATACACGAAGCATCATAAATTATTTAAATTTTCTTTGTAATCAAAGAAATAAGCGCATGGGAAAAATGTTAATCAGATCGAAATTAAAATGGAAATTCAGCAAGAAATATATAACGAGGAAGAGAGTTTCATAACTTATCGATTTATAATCAGTAAAAATCGTTTATAGGTATGAATATTTTATTCCTTTACTTACAGGTCGATAATAATTTTTGCCATTTTCATTACTTTTTTTCTCTTGATGCGATTCTAACAGTAGTTTAATTAGATTTTACACAGTACAGATTTTTGTTACATTCAAATTAACACGGAATACATTTCAATCTCATAATATCGTGGGGCATTCGTATCCTGACCTGTTGCGCGATTCATGGATTCTTTAGAGTATGTAAAAACGAACAGAAAATAATTCTCAAGGTAATAAAAAGAAATTGAATATTTATACCTCATGTGCATATGGCCTTTGTTCAATTTCACACAATCGATTCTTTAATACAATAATTAAAAAGCTACATGTAATTGCTCCGTTTACAATTATATGCGGACATTTCTTTTTTAAATTCCCATGCTGCTATCATTTAGCACTATTTTTTCTAATTATTTTTAATGTCGCACAGCTATGTTTTACAATTTTCTATATTTATTTTCTAGATTTATTTTCTAGATTCGTTAGAATTTTTTTACAAATAGTTGTTGAAAGCTTAGGTATTAAAACTTGCTCTAACTAATCCCTAGATTATTTTAATTATGGTAACTGGAACTCTGGTAACAAGCATCGCAATATAAACAAAATTAAATATACGTTCTGTAAAGAAGTCCAAGTGCATTCATTCACATCGTACATATATTTTATTTCTTATTTAAAAATAGAAACTATTTTGTACATTATGCTCGGAAAGACAGCTTGTCTTAATCGACTCAAAATCGATTAACGATAGGTTCATTAACTTATGAGACCGACTTACAAATTTTTCAAGTACGAAAAGTTGCAAATTACTCCAAAGAACACATAGTGAATTCTTCTACCAACAGTCTGGTGAAGATTATACATCCAAATAGAAGCTATCATAAGAGACGAAATTCACCTGACATCTTCCAAGTTTCTTAATACGTTCAATGCGGGAGGATTTTTAAAATCCCAAGCCCAATGACGAAAATTTTCTCAGTTTTCTTTTCTTCGCTTAATCGTATTTGAAAATAGTTGGAAATGTATTATTCAATATTGAAATTATTAATTTGTTTAGAAATATTTAAAAATACCGATATTTTCGAATTTCTCGTGTCACTGGGAAAGAATAAATTAAAAGGAGACACAAATTCGTAAGAGTAATGCGCGATCAAGAATCGTAGAAACAAAGCAGGAACCGTTGGAAGACGGTTAGAGCGATAGATGATCGAGCATGAAGATCTAAAGGGGTTTTACAGACTTTCCATATACATTATACTTCAAGGTTCTCAACTAAAAGGATCAATATATAGTGTCAATATTTATTGACAAACCACATTTTCGTTAAGAACCTTGAAATATTGACAATATTATTGTTCGTCTAATGGCATAGAGTGGCTATCACCACCATTGATACATTGATACGCTTGATACATTTATCGATTTCGTCACACTGAAGCAACTTCTGCTCGATACGTATAATACTTACAACAATAACATACACACACACATACACATATATATGTATGTATATATATATACACATATAAAACAATAACATATAAAATTCACCGAACGAAACAAGAAAAAATAACAACATGGTGATTCATAATTCGTGTCACACACTCCTGTACGTTCAATTGATCACAACACTCGCGGAAATAAAAGGAACATAATGTCGACGTGTAATCACTACAAATACATTGTCACTCTTTCTTCCTGTCCATCTGTTTTAATTCCTGGAGATCCTCAATTGGAATGTCGGCATCACCGTAGCCCCAAACATGACTGCCATCGCCAGATCTGATCGCTCTGCGCCGAACCATCGCTGGTGACACGTATTTGCGATTGTAAGCCCAACCGATGTGTGCAAAAGCGTCGATGAAGCCCGTGGTCAAGTTGAACGTGTAGTTTCCAAGTTCTCCAGTCTTGTAATCCCACGGAAATACGTGATGAAAGTTGTGCCAACCTTCGCCTAGGGCCGCTATCGAAACCACCACGTTCTCCACTGGAGAGATGTATCTGAAAAATTTGCAAAATTTTATTTGATCACGAAGAAGGAAGTTCTATCGGTAGAAGTAATATCATTTGAAGTATTCTATGACGAAGGAGAATACACATAGAATGTAAGTTTCACCAAACGAGAAATCTGATCGCAAAAGGGCGGGTACTTAGTTCTGAAACTAAAAATCATACGAATATATAATGCTACTTTCAGACTTAAAACAATGACGCAGAATTAAATTAATAAATCCCCTCTGAAATATATGGAGAATTTTTGTGATCTCGTGGCAGAAAGTTTCTTCGATGGAGGTAATTTTGTGCAAAGTATTGATTTTACGATAATGGAGAAGCTTGGATTCTATTCTAAAAATTTCTATTCCGATGAACGCTTGAACAAATGGATTCTAATCAGAGATTTATCTCGCTGATTAAAATGAATGGAGAACTGAAATTTCACACGTGCAAGCGCGTGGTGTCGTGTTCGAGTAACTCGAAACGTCGTAATTTCGATATTTGTGATCTGGAATTTATTGAAAATTGATTGCTTACTTATCGTAAGGTCGCTGGCCCCACATGTGAGCCACGCTATTCACGAAGAAGGCTATGTTGAGCGTAACGCAGAAACGGAAGTTGAAATTCACCCAGAAAGATGTCCAGACAGATTCTGACCAGAAGTAGCAAGGCACGCCGACCGGAAATCCAATGGTTAAAAGGGCAAACAGAGGTATGTAGTATCTGTAAACGAATATATCACTCAACGAAACTTATCAAATTATTGGAATTAATTCTTAGAATTGAGAATCATAAATTCTCGAACAATATTTACCTTTTTTGCCACATGACAAGTGGATCAGCTTCCAAGTCGCTCATGTCCACTGCTTTTCGTTTTGCCACAACATCAGGATGAGGTGTTGTAAAAAGCCAGCCCACGTGGGCGAAGAAGAAACCCCTTTTCGCGTTGTGGGGATCCGCATCGGTTTCGCTGTACTTATGATGTACCCTGTGGTCCAACGCCCACGCGTATACGTGTTTCTGTAGATGAAAAGTGTTTGTAAATCGTTTAGAAATTGTTGAACATTTAGGGAAATTAAAAAGGAATAATTATATTGCGACGTTCGAATTTTTTTTAGAAATTTGTTAGAATTATTTAGCCACCGGAAATTAATTTCTTAGATATTTTGGTCGTAGAAAATTAATCTTTCAGTGATTGGTTATTGAAAATTCGTTTCTAAAGAACCAGTTAATTATCGGAAGATGATTTTATAAAAATTCATAAAAATTGGAATGAAGAGAAAATTACGAACTTGTCCAGTTATGGTGAATAGTAATATTAGTAAGAATCGAAGAGGCCATTTCGCTTTATACGCCCTGTGGGACCACAACCTGTGCGCCCCCGCGGTTATACCGAATCCGGAAGTGTATATAACCACGAACGCTGCAACAAAACGCATCATAATATTCATAGCTCTGGCTTTTGAGTCCAACGTAACAAGTGTATTTCTAGTTCTACTCTCGCATCAGACATATTTATAATCTGAACTTGATCACATACAATGTATTCACTGTACAGACATATTTATATTATGCGATATATTTAATTTAATCCTCCGAATGATAAGACAAAAATTTATCTCTGTCCTCGATGTTTGAAATTTGTATTGTCGTACCGATTATCAAATTTGATACCATTAATTACACCTTTTAATTACACCTTTTCTCAATCTCCTTTATCCTCTCCAATTCTAAGAAAAATTCTAAAATTTAATTTAACGTCGACTAACTCTCGTTCATATAAATCATTCGATCTATCAAACTTATTTACGATGTACTTTGCAAATTCGAGAAAATATTCCACGATGATCAACAGTTGTTCGTTACAACAGCCTTACATAATGTCTCGGAAGCATGAGAAACGGATTAAATTTGCGTATTTCTAACTCCACGCAATCGGATTGTTTCCAGTTCGTTCATATTCTCGCTTTCATTCATCTTCCTGCCTGTTTTGATTATCGCGTGAATCATCACCGAATATTCGAGGATTTGTGCGTTCCACACGCGCGGTTAACCAAAATCAAGAGGAATGTTCCGATTCTAATAATAGAAGGTGATTAAACTCGAGAACGATTTGCTTCTATACTCTCATTCGTGCTTTTTTCTTCGGGTTTTCCACATTTTTAAATATTACGCTCTACATCCAAGACCCTAGCGTTGTAAAGATATAACAGTTTAAATGGACGGAGGAATTCTTTAATTTCTATTTCTCGAAACGAAAATTTTATAAATTTCTGTTTCTTAATGAAAATAATTATTTAAAGATCGCATGGTGGATTTCAACAAAAATTTCTATAAACACTTTATTTCATCGTATTTTGCGCTGTACGTTAGAGTTATTCGTGTTATGGTCGAGAATTAGTTCGGCTTGTCGAGCATCGATGACGAAGTCGACGTAATTTGCGAGGCCAAGAACAGTGTCATAGATTAATAATAATCAGAAAATGGCCTCGGTTTATTTCTGTCGTCGGTTCGAATTTTTGCAGCAGAACCGTTTCGAAGTCAGCACGCAACGCACTTCCGTCGTGGCTCTCGTTTCTGAAATGCATTATGTAATGATCGAGACACAAAAGTTTCATCTAATGAATTACACGTCGCTTCCTATCGTTCCTAATCGTAATGAAAGTACGTTAAAATGTTAGTAGAATTTATAAGCGCGAGTAAAGAACCAGGATATTATTTAGAAGCGAGATATCGGAGAAATTTTTACAAAACCGTCGTTTAGAAGACCCATCGATCTTAACTTCGACTTAAAAAGTTATTAACAAAATAACTTTTATAAGTAGAACGTACGTTTTTGACACTAGGTGCACATTTAAGGAGTCAGCACGTGGTGCATACGTGTTGTATACAATTGTTCTCACATTTATCGTTTTGTTTCGATTCCTATTAGATTTGAGTCAGTTTAATCTCTGTCGCCCTTACCCAAGAGTCTAATCCTGATAACGTATGTGATGGTCAAGGTCATTGGAGGAGAGTTCTTTAAATAGCAATTTTATCGAAGTTTTTCTTATACGTCGAATTTTCCTCTTTTATTCCTTCGATTTTTTATTTTTCGATTTTATATTAATTATCGATACAAGAATATTGTAGGAACGGAATTAGAATCATCGATGACCAACAATATATATTTACATATCCCCTTCCGTGAACCTCAGCGATCGATGCTTAATCCGATTGTTGAGTACTTCGTAGAATTTTCGCAGCCCAGTTAACTATTTTTCAGTATGATACGTAACATATGATAGCACAGTACAATATTGATTTCAGATTCTGACCTATAAGCACAATACGTATGCATATGTATATTAATCACTGAGAACGCTGAATAATAATAAATAATAACCGATGAATCAGGCTGACATTAAAATTTCAATGTTTTATCGACTTGATAAACGAATTATCTGAATATCTGAAGAAATATGGTCTTCTATCTTGAATGAGAGTCATGAAAAAGTAATATCGAAGTATTGAGAAGAGTAGGTGTGATTATATCGCTACTACCGTTTTATTCTTTAATTTAATCTTCTGTTATGTCATACAATCTACCGTGCTGATACGATATACATCTTCAATGTGGAGTATTGTGAAACGATTCTAACATTGTGGATTATTCGCTCTTTTTGCATTTGAATTTCAGTTCGATTAAACTTAATTTTTATTTTCCGTTATATATTTATCTCTATTATCTATTCTTTATACGATATACTTATTTTTTGCTATTATACAATCTGTCCTGCGATCTAACAATTTCACGCTCAAGGATATATTTTTTACCCTTGATTGAGGAAAAATGAGTATTATCCTTCCAGCAGCTTTCTAGGTTATAAAAAAATCAATTTCTTTCCTGGATTCATACAGTGCGTCATCGATCGTATACAATATGCAGTCACCCACAAAAGTCCTCGTACATTCTATAAAAGGTTTCATCGAAAATCAATTTCATCTAAACGAAGCACATTAGAACGTCGTACAATGACCGCATGTATACATCGTTAATTTTTTTTTAAAGCAGTGATATAACGGTTCTTAGTCGTATTAATTAATACAGAGTGCAATAACTTGGCAGTCAAATTTTCTAGCATGTCATTTGAACAGCAATGAATTTTCTCATATTGTAAACGAAGATGTTCGTGAGTAATTGTACGCACACGGTATATCTTTGAATACGACAGCGTGAAAGATACGGAATATTCCCTCATCGATAATAATAACCACGAACAAACATAGTTTCGATTACACTTACCCCATAACGTGGTAAGAAGCTTGGCTTCGGTGAAGATAAGGTACAACCCGTAAATGCAGCCTACGTGAACGAAAACTAACGCGATGAAATCCGGCCACGTGATACGAGGAACATATTCCACTTTACTGCTACGATAAGTTTCGTCAACCGCTAAATAGTCGTCTGTTTCAGCCAACTTACGATTCTTCGAATCGTTTTCCTTATATTCATCTTTCAATTGCGACACTTCGCACGCGGTGGCTGGAACTCGATCCTTGCTCGGAGACATTTTTATTTCACTTTTCACGAATTCGTCAGAAAATTCTAATTCAATGGAGAAGAAATATATTCAGATGTTATTCAAATTTATTTCTTGCATCGTAGCTTCTCTCGAAGGTGGTGATATCAGTTGGGTGGACGAAAAATATTTCCTGTAACAACAATAGGTGAAGCGATTATTTTCAACTCTTTATCCTATAGCTGTTATGCAATCGAAGCTTAATGGAAATATAATTTGAATGTAAAGTATATGTCCTTCAAGAAGAGCAATTCTCTCGTGATGTTTCGTTTGGCTTAGTCATTCGTCAAGAATTAATGTCGCGTTACACTGAAAAGTTATTGATAACTGTTATGAACGATCGGCTTCCTTCGGCTTTCAACCATCATTCTGGAAGTTTAATTCGATTTTGAAATATACTTCATACGTCTTTTAAGAAAATTTCATAATTTACATTCCGTCTTTTTATATATTATACAGGGTGGTTGGTAACTGGTGGAAAGGGGGTGATTCTACGCGAAAAAAGAAGTCGAAAATATAGAATAAAAATTTAAAAATTTAAAAATTTAAAAATTTAAACATTTAAAAATTTAAAAATTTAAAAATTCAAAAATTTGAAAATTCAAAAATTTGAAAATTCAAAAATTTGAAAATTCAAAAATTTGAAAATTTAAAAATTTGAAAATTTAAAAATTTGAAAATTTAAAAATTTGAAAATTTAAAAATTTGAAAATTTAAAAATTTGAAAATTTAAAAATTTGAAAATTTAAAAATTTGAAAATTTAAAAATTTGAAAATTTAAAAATTTGAAAATTTAAAAATTTGAAAATTTAAAAATTTGAAAATTTATTTTAAAAATAACGTCAATTGAGAGAACGATCTACAGTGAGATCCGTTATAACGAGACGTGATAAAGTGCACGCATACCGAGCGAAAATTCAAAGTCGATTTTCTCGAAAACAAAGTCACAAACGAAAAATGTTTATTCTATATTTTCGACTTCTTTTTTCGCGTAGAATCACCTCCTTTTCGCTTGTACCACCAGCTACCAACCATCCTGTATATTAGTTCACTATTAGATTATTGGGAAGTTTATTAAACCAAACAGGTGTATTTTCCAATAATAGACTTTCCTTTTGGGAACTTAATTCGAATTATAATCACGTGTCTTTGAATAAAATTCCGCAATTTGTGTTACTTACTTTACCATAAGTTATGTATTATTTAGGAAACGTGTTAAACAACCGCGATATTTTATCGATAATACATTTTTTCCCTTTTTTTATCTAATAAATTATAGAAACAATGTTACACATGAAACAACGTACAATGTTTCTTCCGGCTATGCGATCCGTGTAGGTCGGTTCTACAATAAGTGAATACCTATGAATCGTTCAATCACTGAAGGATATCACTATACGCAACCAATGGTTGAGAAAGACTGAGTGATACAGCCCGACTGAATGCTAAACGATAAACTCTATCGATCGTAGATATTGCCATGTGTGGTATCACTACATGCGTTGATAAAATAATTTATTTTCAGACACTCATTACCATCGCACGTGATTGTATCCTTGTATTTCGTGAGTATTCTTTTAGTTTAGTTACGTGTTCGACGATCTGTAGGTATTTTGTGAAACAAGAAATTACATCGAGAAAGAACAAAAAAGTAAAGTTGGAAAATTACAACACTGAGCTTTTCTATTGCAATGTGTAAAATTACTAAAGTTTCTAGATATTCAAGAAGATGAATCTTCAAATAAGTTCCTGGTTCGAATTAGATCGTCACTTGTCGTTTTAATAGATAATAATTGTCGCAATAGAAACACTGTTACATGTTATGTATATACTGACAATGTTTTAAGTGGTGTACGTTTATCGCAATTTATGCTTCCGATGATATCTACACCTGGTTCGAAGAATCGCCCTATGTTATGATAGGTTATTGGTAATATTCTCCCTAAAATATAGATGGATAATCGGGTCACACATTAGTGTTGAAAATGAAGGACAAGCAAACGAAATATTTCGACACTTCTACGATGACACATCGAACTGGAAATAACTTAGAATCATAAATAATAATGCCGAAAATCGATTTAAATAAAACTAAATAAAATGCTTCTTGTTCGAATCGTCAAATAACGATTAATTATCGTAACGAAAAATTCTGAAAAATATTTAATTTGTTTCATTTCTAAATATTTAAGTCTTGACTATAGAAATTTTGTTGCTATTGTGGCAAATAATTTTTCTTCTTAATACGTGCGTAATCGTTTCTTCTACAAATCCCAAAATTCTCCACCGTGTTGCATTATGCCAATAAACTGAAAACTCAAAGTCATTTCGGAGACGATTGGTTCATGCCTAAAACATACATTTTTCACCAAATGGTCTGGTTTTGCTTCAACTTTTTTTTATATCGTGTACCACGAAGAATATTAAAAGGACGAAAAGAAGGAATGCTATCGAAAAACGTTCTATTAGAACGACGAAAAATAGCGGAGGGTAATGTATCTGGCGCCAGTCTTTCCGAGTGTACGGATTTCATATTCGTGTTTTTACTTAAACGTATCGTGATTCTCGTAAAAGTTGACGTAGTTACGAACGTTGATGAACACTCAATAAAGGAAACGGATACAGGAACGATACGACTGGCGCCACACGTATCTTCAACACTAGGGAGGTGGAGGTAATATTCCTTTGCCATAGGCGATGTTGCTCGTTTTTATGTTGATGCGTTAGAAGAAGATGCACGGTAAAACGAAGAGAAAGCATTCCGTTGAAATAATTAATTAGGAATATTTTAATTAAAAAGATAGTCAAATTTTCTAAAGCAGAATTGATATTCAGGGAAGATATTATTCTCTGTTCGGTTTTCGATTATGTGAATCATGGATATTATTCGCATAACGTTCAACAATACGAATACACTTTCTTTTTCACAATTTTCGACTTTTCCACTCTCCTAATACAAGATAGTTATATAATCTGGTAAATAGTTATTTTTATCACGGTCCTTACGAAATGAGTTATAACCCCTTGTATATGCTTCGTTATTTTTCAATCAGCGCGTCCAGTTCGTTCTCGGAACTCGATCAAATGTTCACGGAAAATTACGTTACGAATTGAAACGGTATTTACGAATCTCGTTAACGACCCCTTGATTGGACAATACGTGCCGCCTATATATAGACGACTCGTAAATAAGTGTAAAACTACTGTGTCAGACTTCGGCCAGAAACGTTTGGCCACATTTCCATCACGAAGAAGATACTCCTTGGAGCTTTTGCACATAGGAAATGCAAAACTTGCTTTGCTAATACGCTCGGTTAATGTCCGACTGCAAATCGATACGGTACGTTTGCCGTTTCGGAAAGGATCGACCCTGTTGCAAAATGCAAGAGCTCCCGTCGACTGGTAGATGGTGCAAACCCTTTCGCCACCCTCTGCCCATTGCTCTACGCCTTTTTGTACATAGCATTGTATACCTGTGAGACGTTGAAAGAAGCATAAAAAGAGCATAAATACTAGGACAAATACAGTCGTCGATTCTGAGAAATATTTTCTTACGTGACGTGATGATACAATGGTAGTATTTAACGATCTAAATATTATCCGTATTATTATATCGATTTCAACGAAGATATTCAGAGAAATGTGTAACAGGCATTCAGAGTATTAAGAGCGACATGTAAAATTTATCTTTAACTTATAGAAGCCTCAATATGAATTTCATGCAATGAATTATACAAAATCGTACGAATGAATTATTTAGAACAGAATACTTCCAGGAACTATTTTCGAACAAAGATTGACACAGCTCTGCATCGTTTACTTCAAAGACACCAGGCAGAGGTTTACAAAGTTGGGGCGAAAGTTACGACGGAAATTTGCTTCGGTAATAGAGACTGTTTATACCGCGTGACTTGGAAAATTTTATACGTCGACGTTCTTCACAGGTACGATGCAAATAGTTATAATAATGGCATTGAGGAATCATGGATGATAAATGGTGGTACTTAGAAAATTCATAAAGTTTTGCACGTTGATCTCGTAAAAAAGTACAGACTTCTAACTGTAGCCAAGTCTGTCGGAGTGATAAACATGCCAAAGCGACGAACTTTATCAAGTGTTTCTTATAGAATCTGATGTTGAATTTGATCGAACCATGTAATAGAATTGAAACATTGAATCTCAGTTTTCTATCGACAAATTTGTCTCATTCAGTTAGTTAAAAAATGTATTCGGAATTAACGTGTACACTCAGCGCCGAGTTATTTCCGGCCAATGTTATATCAATTTGTAATAAACGTTTCTTTTTACATTTATCAAGCAAGCTATAATATACTATTAACGTGCAAATACTATTTTTTCCGAGAACATTTCATAAAGAACTGTGCATTAATTTCCTGTTCAAATATATACACGTTTTACATATCAATTGCGTTTTAGGATTTTCACCATAGTGTCAATCTTCTCTGCAAACGTTTCATCCTGACTTCGTGATTAATTTCCTTTTTTTGGATTTATTTTGGACTTATCAGCTCTCAAAGAGACACGAGTAAATATCCAGTAAGATCTAATACAATCTAAAATTGAATTTAATCATCGTAAAACGATCGTGCGCGTAATAAGAAACTTGATTAAGAATAATTACGTCGAGTACACGGTTGGAGCTCTGTCCATTACTTTTCTTTTATTAGACATTCGATATAGCCACGTCCTTTGTTAAATGATGATTAATTAAAATGTAACACGGCAAATGTTGGTAATTAGCTAATGTAGAGAGTCACAGCATGTAACGAGTGGGGAAAAAGAAGAATCTAAGGCAAATGTTGCAATCGATGTAGATAGATAAACGCAATAGCGATCGTATTTAATCGAGAAACAACCGGAATACGGACGACAGGAACGATTTTCCTTGTTCGTCGTCGCGGGAGGGTCTTAATGAGGGAGGACGTCTTAATGGAAAAAGACACCGTTCAGAGGAGACGATTTGGAAACTCGTAAAAAGGCGTGAAGCACTTGACATCACGAAACTGCAAAAAGATTATTTTCAGAGTCTTGTTGCGCAATAATTTATCAACTAATATCACTGATTTTAAGGAATCAATAACTCACACATAATAAGTGGTAGATATCTTCTTTACAATTTTTGTTATTTTACTTGCAACGCTTGTCACTTATAAAATGCCTAATAATTTCTAATTTCTAATATTCTGTCGAATAATTTTCCATATTTTCGATACTGGACATAGTTTTATGGTTGTTAACAGTAAATACTCTCGTGTATATGAGAAAGAACAGTCTGTGATTCATAAATTTGCAACGATGTAAAAAATTTCATTTTGCAATTCTTCTTCCTTTTATCGTAACGAATCGAAAAACAATCGATCAGCTATCGATATTACGAACGCATTATCCGCTTACAAGCCTATTTTAAACGACATTTAAGGACAAATAAGAAGCATAAAGAAGCGAAATAGATTATCGACGATGCGTTTATACAAGGCAGTACGTGAATGAATACATCAAGATCGATTAGTGACGCACGAGACTAATAACTATGTGTTTTTACAAATGTGGGACACAATTTCTGTGTCGTGGCTCGCCTTCCATTTACGACGATATAATCTTTAATCGGAATTTATTGTTGAGAATTCATAGTTCACGGCCGAATCGTTCTTCCCTTTGGTAGGTCGTGATTCTCTATTGAAGTTGATGTGAAACGATCAACCGATGACAATCGAAATAATATCGCTCGTAAACTTTAATAGTTTCATTGAATACTTTTTATTTTTCATTGATCTTCGTTGTTTTTAAATTTACGTTCTATCACAGAAAAAACAGAAAACGAAATAAAAAAGATTGAGGTCAAAGTTTGCAGTGATCTTTAACTAGTCGCAGGTCTCATAATCGAAAATGAATAGGTGTTCGCGCCCGATATTACGCCACTTACGAGTAATAACGTATACTCTTTGTATCTATAAAGACTTGTTACGAGTCTCTTAAGGCTATCTGATATAGCGATGAATCATTTGAACATACAAACGTAAGATGGATACACGCGCTGTATTTAAGACGCGACCACATAAAACCAATCATCGATCTGAATTCCTATGTAACGTTTTGTAAACGAATGGCGAGCAGATCTTTTTGCCTTCGGTCTCGCTTCTTACGTGTACGTTAGCATTGATTACATAATTGAAAAAAATGGTAGCTTTGTACTTTAATAAAATATTTATCAATCGTATGATCGAACGTGAGCAAATTCAGTTCAGCCAAAGGAGCATACTGTTTCTGCGAATCTTCAAATAGGATAAGATAAAATTTATAATAAAAAATCTCGTAATTGCGATCCATTGAATATTTATCAAACTAGTCACTAGAACTAAATATAAGTATCGCGTAATTCTCGATCGAAATACGTGTTCTATGTTACTATGAAATCGTACCTCGATTATCCTAGAATTTCATTCATAATCGAGAAACGATTTAACCATCAATCACTACCGATTTATGTTTCCTGTTTATGGCAATTTCCATTGGAATGCCTGACTTAAAGGAGCACATAACTTCTAACCTTGATTATCTTAAATCATTGAAGTTGTAATAAATTTATTTCTGTTCATAGAACTCGTATTTTCCATTAGGGTAGATTAGCACGAGACGAATATTCCACTTTAAAATTGTTAAAAATTTTCTGTCATACGTACGTAATCGTTATATGACAAATTTGTTACATTTTGAAACTTTGAAACTTACAATTATCGAAACCATGAATGTATCTACTATATATAGATACTGGCAATTTTGGCAAAATTGTTATTGATTTTTATTAAGATAAAAAGATATATTCTATATATTTGTTCATGTTTATTTAAAATACACTAAACGTTGGTAGTTCTAATGCTGATCAAATGAAACGAAACACACGATGCTTCTAAACAGACGTCTATGTAGTATTATGTAGCACAATAACATATTACACCAATTTCCCGCGAAGTGTACGTAGCTAAAAAATTATTTGATTAAATAAGAATTCCACAACGCATACGGAGCCAGCGCCTATAAATAATTATTCTCATCATCGCGCTCCAAGGCTGAATCTAACATGAACCACGTATGAGTACAAGCATATTATATATACGTGATACAGGTGCACGTACTATGCAGCTGATGATGATCCAGCGGATCACGTCGATATTTTCACGTATCTCTTCAAGCCAAATCTAACCAGACGTCGATCTAAAAATATACTCGAAAAATAGAAACATCGCTGTCCATGGTATCGGCATAGTCGTCTATCATATTAGCGTGCATCGAATACGTACCTCGCGGAGGTATTGTCATTCGACTGGCGCAGATGGGCGTTGCGATATCGTTCGTGTAATTAGGATCTAAAGGGGCGTTTAGATTAATATTATTACCAAAATATTTAAGATTTTCGACATTGTATCGTCAATATATTGATAGATGTATATATCGATGGTCTAGAAAGACTCTTACGTAGGATAATGTTGAGAACCATAAATATCGATAATAATATTGATCGTCTTTAATTCTCCTCTACGATAAGATTGCGTCGGACGCAGTTAGGATATCCCACATTGCAGGCTGATTGGAACACGGTTAGTAGTTTAGCCAAGTAGCAAGTAAAGCTGAATTTACATTGCTAGCTTTGAAGGATCATTGCGGATGAAACGAGAATAAAAACGATGTTTTTTTATGAATCGTTCATAGTGATCATCCGCAATGATACAGTGTAAATTTAACTTTATTTGCTGTGTACTTAAATATACTTGAACTACTTGCCGTGACTGAACCAGTCTGAAGAGGCCAATCCTTGTCAACAACTTTCGAGGTCACTCAAGCCAGATAAGAAAAAGATTCCGCTTTGACTCTTACAAATTGTCAAGGCAAGGCGTGGATCAATTAAACTGACGTGTGTGTAAACTCTCATACGTACTTACGTAAATTGACGGTAGAACTAGATATTCAAGAAGTACGTAGAAGTCGATAAGAGATATTGGTTCGTTGTCTCGTCTATGTTTCTATACGCTTTCTTTATTCGTTATCAATTTAACGAAGAAAAAGGTAGAAACTTATCATAGTGGTTATGAGTTGCACCTGTTTACCTTTCACTCGTATGACGACACCACTTTATGAATCATTTTTTCCTCTAATATTCGATCCTGTTTATTGAAAGTGATCGAACATTCATAAATTAACACGTGCATATCGTTGACAGCTATCAGGTATATGTATTTTATCACCGGTATGATGATTATCCAATCGATCATCTTTTACAGTACACTTACCTTTCCAATATAATTCTCTGTCAAATACCCACATGCAGCAAAATCCATCAAAATTCGCATTATATATCCGTATCAAACTTCGTTATTTAATTGATTCTCAGATCAAACGATTCATCGTCATATTTATCATATCGTGTTGTATCACTATTTCAATGATTATCCGATCTATCACTCACTATAACATGCTTGACTCTTAAACATGGTTTTCCCAAATCTCCATTAAACACGTCTTATTTCGAAATTCGGAGGAGCTTCGCGCCAGAGAAGCATTTCATAGCATTTATCAGTTCACATTAAATCACCATTTAATAAGATTATCTGATCGCTTATGAATCATAATATCCGCTTCTTCGATACGATTTTGTACTTTTTCACCTTGAAAACTCCGAGAAACTTTCGGAAAGCAGATTTCTCTAAGCATCTGATTAGAACCGAATTGAAACACCTGCAATGACGCGGCTACTATCACGACGGATACGTAGAATTTAACACAGGTGTTCTCTTCAGGTGTTTCGCGGCTCTTTCAACTCGATCAATTGGATCATGATAACTCGCAACTGGAAATTCTGGAAATTGTAGTCTTACGATCGCGACATCGTATCAGTTACAGCGATATCTGATAGCGACGAAGATTCTTCGAAATAAGGAGAACTTTTTCGAAGAATTTCGGATGTCGATTGGATGAAAGTATTTAGATATGTGGTAGAAATGGATTACAGTGTGACACCTGTCCCTCCGTGTTATTTCTAACCGGTTCCATGCTTCGTTCCGCGATCCGCGTGGAATAAACACTGTCCTGATGGCAAACTCGCGCGCCTCGAGTAACAAACTCGCTCGTTCCGTGCGCGTGTACTCACGCCGCCACGAAACACGCCGACTAGACACGGATCGGCACGAAGCATGGCAATCTTTCGTTAGATCTGGTTCCTTGTGTTACACAATACGTTATTTGCTAATAAATAATAATTAGCTATGTTTTTATAAATGGGTACGCATCACGCGAAAGACTTTTAATAAAAACTTTATAAATACGTCTCAGAATTCAATGAATAAGTGAAAATTGATATTTAAATTCTTGTATAATATACATATGCTCGTTTTGTGAATAGAAAATTCTGTATATTTTTCAATGTACTAATGTTGTTTTATAAAAAAATTTCCTTGAATCCTTCGCGGATGATGGCAGATGTAAGAGATATACGCAATACCTCTTTAGAAATAATTATAGAGCTTCACGATGAAGAGTTTCCATATGTGTTTTTATTTTTATATAACATGGTCAACGTAACATAGGGTCCTTCAGTGAAATTGAAATCTCTTTCCTCGACGAAATGGTCGCTGGTCGTCGTAATTCTTCGTTGAATTTCAAACGATATTTTGTAGGGAGAGAAGGTATAATTCTGCCACGAATTTTCACAATATGTCCGAAAACGTAACTTAAATACAGGATGCAAATTAATCCTTTGCAGTCGCGAAAATTTGATACGATCGGTCGGCGACTCAAGAGAAGATTTTATACTGCAGACGAATTGATCAATTTCATCGACGTTAACCGTTTCTGAAAAATGAAATACTAATCGTATGTTCTGATCCTAAAATTAAGGAACTTTCAGAAAGTTCCAATTAATTTTAATTTACAAAATTCTATTTATTTCTTTGCGAATTCAAATCACCAACTGGTGGTACTTCTGGCAGCAAAGTTCTCGGGTAATTTCTTCTCCATTGAACAATATAATTCATCATACTCTGAGCCATCATAAAACGGAAAATCTCAGGAAGATCTGGAGATCAGTGATGTGATAAAATTTAAAGATAATCAAAGATAGAGACGTGTAAAATGCTACAATTTGCTACAATGCTACGCGACTAGTAACGTTTCTCAGTATGTTCTTTGATAATTGACTATTATAAATACACTAAGAATATGTTACTCGAATAGATGACACACACGCTACGCGTTATGCGAAATTCTAGCGGCGTTGAAAAACATCAACGATTATCAATATAACGAGGCAGCAAAAAGTAACGTCGATTTCATAATTGTTCATGCATTTCGTGCGAACATCCTCTTTGTTAGTGCAAGGACGAAAAAAACCAAGCGTTTATCTTTATTATTATTCGCGGAAGATTTATTGGAAAGATATCGTTGTATTTTATTAGAAATATATTGCAAAATATTTGTTTCTATATCACTGTAATAATATAACTTGATTCTTATCACTTTTAAATATCTTGTTTGCACAAAATCTTTGTTTACACAAAAACTGATGTATAAGTCTGATTCATGTATAAAATAGCGTTTTTAATTCCGTGATGTCAGATGTTTATTTTTTAAGATTATACGTCGGTCTGTAGCAGCAGTTACACAAGAATCAACCTTGCAAGCCTATTATACTAGTTTGAATTCAAAGGACGCGTTCGAACAAACGTAAAAATGTTTTGAATATCTTATATCAATCTTATTCTTCGTTATTATTACTAGACATTTCGAAACTTATCCCAAATTCGTATCTTCGTTAATAATCCTAAGCCTCATCATCGATATTATACAATTTTGAGAACATTGAGCAAATCTGTCAATTTCATTTTTATTTTATTTATTTGAAAGATTATTTCGACGAATTCATTATCTTCGTTAATAATATCTTGAATCTGATTACTCGGAATATCGTTAAATATTGATTTAAAACATCTGATGATAATGGGAATACATCATTTTTCTGTCGTGTCAAATAATTAAGAGATTAAAGTTTCTAATAACAGGTAGCTAGTTCGTGATCGGTATCGATCTCGATTCGAATCTGTCTCAGCTTCAAGAATCTAAATATAATGCGTTGAAAGGAAATTATAATTTTTAGACAGTTAATCTCATCGAGAATTTATGTTTTGCGGTTTATGCAATTTCATATTTTAATGAACGTAAGTAAAGAAATGACACGTAACTAGAAATTGGTTTTATTCTTCAAATGTTATGACCGCTACTCTACTTTGCGTATCTTTAAGTATTATGTCTATTTTGTAGGTTTTAGCGTATTTCAGTTCGCTATGTATGCATAAACATCCGGAATTAAGTTATTATAGTTATTTAACAGAAAGAGACGACGAAGGCTGTTATCATTGTTACGTTGCGTGCGATCGTAACGTAAAATTATTACAGAACCACTATAGGAACTGATTCTTTGATTTCTTATCAAGTAACGAGTTATCAAGATATTAAGTACGAATAATCCCACAACAAAATGAATCACGGATATAATATTGAATGAGATGACTGTTTATTGTTTTCGTCTAGAGTACAAATGTCAATAGTCGTTTTATCCTTATGTATTACCATCCTATTTTAAATGTACAATATCATTCTATTTTACAACCGTCTAATCATAGTCTTAAGAAATTTCAAAATCGTAAAAAATTCATTCGTGGACGAATTGGTATAAAAAATTCTCGAAAATTTACTACGATCATATCGATTGAATTCGTGAAATCTTCACCTAGGTTTCATTTCCTTAATTACGTCCATAAATGTGTAAAGATACATAAACTAAAATAACTGAATTACGAAATTCGAATGTAAATGCAACCATAACAAGAGAGAAACTTTTCATCATCGATCAGATAAAGGACAGGTTTGGTCACCTCGTTCAACTTCGTATCGCATTCTCTGAGATACAATCGTTCACGAGATAATAGACGTTTTGTTATCTCTGTTTTCACCATGAACGTCTAGAGCGTTGAACGTTAGAATTGCATATAAACTGCAGTATCTGCTTCACATTAAGACCCAAGACAAATTTAATCGAAAATGACTTCGACCTTAACAGAATCAACCGTATTATCGATAGACTTATCGATAGAGAAATCTCCCGAGAATACAAGTTCGCAATACAACTCAAACGCTATTCAACCTTCCTGTCTCGCTGTTTTCTTGCCACACTGTTCTGTCGAGGATGCGACAGACCTCATCGAAAGAATCTCCCACAAGTACGATATGAAAACAGTTTTCCTTATACATATTAAGATATCACGAATAATCAGCTGCTCGGGCTGAAGAGCCTACTCCAATAACTAGAGACACCAGGTCTCTGTAAAATATCCTGCACACGTGGGAAGTTCTATATTCGTGAAACTGGAGGAATGCGAGTACATTGGTCACAGAACGCGAAAATTACACGAGACCGAAGCATACGACGGTGTATACGACAGCAATAGCAGAATAACAACTAATTACGGGGCAATTTTTATTTTTTAAGCGATCAGCTGACAAATTAAAAATTCCGTTAACTGATCAGCGAATGCGGAAATGCACGTCATCTTAATCACCGGCTCAGAGGTTCCAATCGGAAATCGTCGTCATCCTGATTACCGTTCCGGAACGACCTACTTAAAAGAGTGTTTTTCCAGAATCACAGCAGTATCAGTGCGACACCCTGACGAAGCCAATCGCAATGCTGGCAAAAGTTTGCAATTCTTTTCCTTCTGATATCGGCGCTTTTCCGCAAGCCTCAGACAGTGTTAGACGAAGCAGCGTTAAATGTACGAACGTTAAGCGCAACAGAGTGAATATTTATCAGAAGAAATTACGACAGATAACGAGAACCAAAGGTTAATAAGAAATTATGAGAAATCTATAAATTGTTAGGTATTGAAATGATATGTAAATTGCTTTTTCCTTTGGTAGAGAATATTAGAATTTTAATTTTATACAAATCAGAGTTTCCGTATATGTATATCGATGCTCGCTGGTCGCTTCGATTTTTAACTATCATGCACGATTATTCTTGTGGTAATCATTGTATCATGTGATACGTGTTATCACAGTGATAAGTCGACGATTAATACCGCGAAGGTTTAAACGAATAATTACTTGGCAAAAAATATACAAACTATAATAATTATTATAATTGCCACGAATTCTACCACATTCGTATTTTTATTGAAAGATATTTGAACGACATCTGTACCCTCGTGTAAAAGCCATTTTATTTTTAATGAATTTCTTAACGAATTTTTGTTTTAACGATTTATTGTCATAACTTATAATATTCTCCGTCTTTGTAGACATAATTAATGAAACTATCTGAGAGTCAAATATAACGCGGTTATCTGTCCCTAACAATTTTCTGCAGACTGTACCCTATTCCCTTTAACAAACTAGATATTAAATTATAATTAATAACGAGATATAACAGTGTGTATGGAGGATACATATTTTACAAACATATAATATGTACTAATTTGCGTTTTATATTTGAAACTTTAAACGTCATATTAAACTAGCAACAATTTCAAATTTTCAAAAAGTCTTCCAAGAATATTTCAAATCTCCCAAAGAAAATCAATTTCGTTACCCTCCGTGAATGTTATCGATGCAGTCGAACGAATAAATAGTTCCCAACGCCTCCGTCATTGACGTCGGTGGCGCTGTGGTGAATCGTGCGCTCCTGAGGTCCGCATACGCTGGGCTTTTCGAATCCATTAAATATTTCTCGTAGACTACGATTCTTTCCCTTTTTTTAAGGCAGTGACGCGCATGTACCGAGGGGTAGTTACCCCCACGCGGACAACACGGTTTCGACACGATAGAAGGAGAGAAAGGAGCGGATCGGGAGATAGAAAACCGCAGTCGAGCTGAGGGGGGGTGGTTCGATGGTCGCAACCCCGGTTATCACAGCGTAGTTAGGCTCGTTTTCCATACTGATTCGAAGTTATTGACTGATTTTTTCACCGGGTGATCCATGAAGGTGGTTTTTCTATCTGATCAAATATCGGTGATTTACTTACTCTGGAATTAGGAAGTGTATATAATTGCACGTTAAGGATTGCTCATAGATAATGTTGTTGCTAGGTTATGATAAATCGTATCGAGGTGATAATTGACGTGACTGTTTGTTGTTTGAATTTCAAGTGGATAACATTGGGTTCGTTTTGATCGATGATGGGAGATATTCATAGAAATAAATAGGATATAGTATCGAAGTGAATTGTACACGCGATTTCAAGGATTAACAAGCTACCGGGTGGTGAAATTTGTGTTGTGTAAGTTGTTAAACATCGGTCGTGATATTTAACTTGGATAATTTTCATCATTATTCGCGTTGCACTGAAGTTAATGTCTCGTGAAAATTCATGTGGGAAGTTTGTTAATTAAAGAGTTCAATTTTTATTCGAAGCACATTGTTCAAGAATCGCGGAATATCTTTTTCATTTCCTAGGCGAGACAGGTAACATTATTTATGAGTATCTTTAACAGTGTGTCGTTAGTCGCTGAAAAATAATGCACGTATTCATGAAAAGCAACTTCTATTTTAATTTCAATTTGTTTTTCATATAATATCTCATCTCGTCGAATTAGTAGAATTGAACACCTAGCCTTATTCCACATTTCTAGCAGTTGATTGCTGTAACATCTTGAGGGATGTAAAATATTGAAATTTATCACTATACAAATACTGATAATATTGTATTGGAATTACGCAGACGTATAACTTAACGTATAATATACTTATAATATACTGTTAATATTTGTATAGTACAAAATTTTTGCACGATAATACATTGTAATATTTTTCACTTAATAGTCAACAGTATAATATATAATATATATTACGTTACAGTTTACGATTATATTATTATAATTATAAAATCTTTTATATCATCTTCGTTAAATTTATAATTCACTAGTGTGACCGAATGTTATAAGCGAAGAAATTAAATCACACGATGCTCCAATGGTGCTGCGTCTATTGTAACGTTCAATATTATTATTATTTCGAGGAAAAGTTATTTAAACGAGGGAAAGCTATTGCCACATAAAGATGCTTCAATGTTCGTCTGCTTTCTTATAAAGAAAGTTTGAAAATTTTGCTTTTATCTGGTTTCACGTCCCATGCATGTGTACGTGGACTTAATTACTAATTATCGGGCAGAGACACGATTTTGCTCATACGATGTTTCAAACTTCTTAAATTTTTATTTCCAGCTACTAGTTATTTTACTGTATATTTTTGCCAACTTTTATGTAGGAATTCGCTTATAGACAGCTGCAGATAGTAACGATATTCGTACATTTATAATTTCCAATTCACTTATATTTATCTCAACTTGTAATTATGCTTATCGATCTACATTCCCATACGTTTTATTCTTTCCAAACGTTCACTCACGACACAATATATCCATGCATATTCATCTCGTGGAACGCTTATAGAACCGTAAATCGAATAACGTCGCCATACCGTTCGTCACAATTAAAGTAATTAATTGTTAATTGGTCGAGCTAAAGCCTGTAATCTCGCATTCTAGGAAAGTAAATTGCTAAATGCGTATATCGCGAAATAATACAATATCATAGAAACTAAACGCTAAATCGAAGAAGTTCGCAGAAACTTTGATCGGTTTCGTCGTTTTAATAGCTGCACGTAAACTTAACACGAACATAAAATATATCATCTTGCTTCCAATCTTAGAAATTTGTTCGTTTCCATTATTTACCGCCTTTAGCTTGAAAGACAAAACCTGTGCTTCGGTGATCTTCGCTAGCAAGAATATTATTATTAAAAGCACTGAATACCATGCCTGATATTGACAAAACCACAAACGTGGAAAGTTCTTCTATCCGCAAATCATGCGTCAGACTCTCGTTATTCACCGCTAAGAAGAAATATTTTCCGAACTTTTTAACGAAACAACCTCGTGTAAAACAACGAATGCAGAGCTTGGATTAGCTACAACGACATTTTGTTAGCAAAAAGCTCTCAGTCATGTGTCAATGGAGCAGAATCTCTGACACGCGAATCGCGTCCGCTGGAACTGTACACTTTCTAAAGCATTATACGAGACTCGCTCAATTTTATTTTCAACCTAAACCAGCCGTGTGTCCTTCTCTCGCGTAATAGCAAATGTGTACGAGAGCCGAGTACCGTTTAACACGTATGAATTGCCCGAGGGCAACTCGAAAGTCCAGCTGGTTTCGTTCGAAACGGAACTTCATCTCTGAACATCGTGTTCCCTTTTTCATGCTCTTCTACAGACATCCTCACACACATCCTTTCTGTGTTCTGCTTCTTCGTCGACGACGAACTACACTGGATCATTGAACAGGTTCGATCAGATTCGATCGCCAGAGAAAGTTTCATTACTAATCTTTCTTTTTTCGTTGCTAAGATAATTGGAGCAGCCGTTAAGGACGTTTCGTTGTGCTTCTCGATGCTTGTAATTTATTCGCCAGCCTCTTGGTACTTGTTGCGTTTCGATATGGACGCGGATGATATTAAAAGAACTGCTGAAACTCGTTTTCTGGCTGTAGGTCAAGTTGATTTACAGTGCGATACGCGAAATCCTGTGCTACAAGCTAAGTGACTTCTAATCTTGATCAACGCGATGTTAATTTGTCTTGGTTCGCAGAGTAATTTAATCTTGCAACACTAACGCAAGTTTGTGATTATGATTATCGATGATAGCGTTGTTCGAAACTTGGGACAGTAGTTAGGTTTGGTACCGAATGTGATTTAATTAATAAAATTAATCGCATTTGCTCCTTTAAACGTGATTTATTTGTGGTAAAATAATTATTAGAGTTAGGATTATCCGGAATTTATGGCGACAGTCGGATTTCTCATATTGATTATTCATAGTTCTTTTAACTTGTATTATTAATTGCGTTTGGTTTCGAATATTATACGTATACCGGACCGGTAGTTTTCATCCCAAGTTAGGTATTTAGAGAGATCGATATTTCTATGCAATTTGTGGCCGCACTTATTCGCCACCTGTTTCTCAGTGTCAGATGTAGCTGTACGTTAGTATCTCTTCGTTATTATGGTATCTCTGAGTACTTCGTAATACTTGCAATCGAAGACACTGTCAGCTTTTAGTTCCAATTAACTGGCATAAAAATATAAATTCGTATCTCTAATCTATCGATAACAATTCGTATGATTAGTATCCGAATATTTAATAACATTTCTAATGTAATTTTCGTGGAAATTCGAACGAGATTTAGATTCTGATACATTGGCTTCCGAATATTCTGTCATTCGCGTATCTAGGCCATTTTAATGTTAGGTCAAGGATACATTTTTTCCTCTCGACTCGAAATCACATTCTCTTCATTCCCGTTTATAATCACTTGTTGACGAGAGGTCGCGTTTGTAGGAAAATAATGATAATTATTTGACTTTAATTAGAGACGAACGAAAGATAAAATACCAACGATAAGATACATTGATAGTTTGTTGTACATATATGGATGATAATTCTGATAATTATTCTATCAGTAATTCGAAAATTACATTTATATATTTATAATCCTGATAATTATTCTATTAGTAAATCCAAAATTATATTTATGTATTTACAATTCTATTTTATATATTTATAATTTTGGAACTATTATCAAGAAACGTCTGCAAATAGTTTCCTCCTATTTCCAGCGAGAGATTTACATTTGTCTTTTCGTTGGCGAAAAATCAAGTGCGAGGATGAAGTCATCTCTTGTTCTGGTTCCTAATATTGTCTCTTAAACTAATTCACTTGTGTATCTTTTGGGTATGTACGTTTACGGATCAATATTTTTCTTTCGAGCCTGATATTGATAACTATCATGTAAATTGACTGTTACCGCGAAATCGATAAGAGCCGATACGTGCGAAACAACACGATTACTATTCGAGACAGTTTTCGATCTGCGACTAACAGTTTGCCATTGGAAGAATTTTGATAAATCCAATTTTGCAAGTATTATATTTTACAAATGATATTACGAAAAGTAATTAAGTAATTATATAAATTACAAATGTTCAGAGAGATATCTTTATTCGTAAGGTAGCTAGCTGTTTCTTTCTTTAATAATTCAAGAATGAAATTGCATAAATGTAGTAACGAAGAATGAGCTATACTCAACCATTTCACAGAGCGATTTTAACCGGAAACCGCGCTATTGACTGATCGATGACTCAATGTTAGCCATTGCAATGGAAGTTTATGCCCGACAAATGTTTGCAGGCGAACTTTTCATAGTGTTTCATTATTTGGAACGCGCGCCAATAGTTTCAATGAGATCGATAACAATTTGTTTCCGTTGAGCAAAACGACCGCGAAGAAATCAGAAATATTCGATGGTAATGACTTGATGCCATTTTGAAATGCGGCTGTACGGTCAGCGTCCTTCTTTATTTTGATTTAATGACTCTTTCGATTTGTTCTGTAACTGTACTCTTTCTCTTTTTCGCTTATGTCCCATTTGTTGTTTTAATGTTCACGCGTTTTGCTAGTTGAGACCGAACTATTATCTTTTCTTTTATTATTACTATATGCTTTATTTATTATACTTTATTTTATCCATTAATAATCGGTTGAAAGACAATTTTGATTGCGTTCTCATGGAATAATATTTAACAACGTTAATAAACAAATATCTGTTTACCCGATCAATGCGATGGAATCGTTGAGACATGCATAGCGAACTTTGGATTATTTCTTGCAATGTCTTTTTTTTATTTTATCTCCTATCCATACTGGTGTTTACTCTTATCCTCGATTTGTCTATTTGCGTTTTTAAATGTTAATTAATATCGATTAAACTTTATTATATTCAGAATAAGAAGAAGAATAAGAGTGAAGAATGTTAATCGATACATCAGCCTTCCTATCGACGAAGACGAACTGTGACTTTTTCTTAAACGAAACTGATTTACGGTCGAAATATATTCAGAGTTTATAATGCTATTTCTCTTTGTTCTTATAAATTTGTTAAATAATCGGAGATAAATCATGCAGTTTCACAACGGCTCCAATAATTTAGTCTTGAAACGTTTAGTCATACTTTCGCAAGTTCACTTTTCTACTTGAATTTTACATTTCGTAAGTGAATATTTTCGTGAATAATGCGAAAGTTCTTAGAAAATGTCACAAAACTTAGTCAATAATCGTAATTAAGAAACAAATGCATGTGAGAAACGTTTAACAATGATCATTGAATATCAGCTTTACGTAATCGATCGATCATGTGTCAACGATGGATATAGAAATATTCATATCTATCGACAATAACGACAATTGTGTCAATTGCACATTATGCACATTTGCACCTGTGTTACTATGTTAATTCTGTTTACTATGGCAATTTCACCAGTGGAATATTTTGACATTGATTTACGAAACAATCTCTTTCAAATGATCGAGCAATCCGAACTCCCTTTGAGAAAATTGAGTCGGATATTCT